GCTTTAGATTTAAAACGAATGCAAATAACAAATACTAAACACATCCAATTGTGTTTTCATAACGGTATACGGTATCACATATCAGCTCTATCCGTTAGGCACAGGCCAGGTAAAACTCTGGTCACTCATCAAATTGTTATTTATCTGTTCTGTTACCTAGCTAGGAGCCAAATCTATTCTTGACAGTCTAACGGTCACTGTAATACTGTGTTACATGCATTATAAAATTGTACATAATGTTGATTATTGTGATGAGAAATTACAATAATAAATAGTGTAAATTATTGTATACTAGTACGAGCCTTCAAATTGTGACTTGTATCCCACACAGTGGCAGTTAGTGACTTGTATCCCACACAGTAATAATTAGTGACTTGTATTCCACACAGTAATAGTGACTAGTATCCCACACAATGTGAGTTAGTGACTTGTATCCCACACAGTGGTAGTTTGTGACGTGTACCCCACACAGTGGTAGTAAGTGACTTGTACACAATGGTAGTAAGTGACTAGTATCCCACACAGTGGTAGTAAGTGACTTGTATCCCACACAGTAATAATTAGTGACTTGTACACAATGGTAGTAAGTGACTAGTATCCCACACAATGGTAGTTTGTGACATGTACCCCACACAGTGGTAGTAAGTGACTTGTATCCCACCCAGTAATAATTAGTGACTTGTACACAATGGTAGTAAGAGACTAGTATACCACACAGTGATAGTAAGTGACTTGTACACAATGGTAGTAAGTGCCTAGTACCCCACACAGTGGTAGTAAGTAGTTAGTGACTTGTATCCCACACAGTGGTAGTTTGTGACGTGTACCCCACAGTTAGTGACTTGTATCCCACACAGTAATAATTCGTGACTTGTACACAATGGTAGTAAGTGAATAGTATCCCACACAGTGGTAGTAAGTGTCTTGTACACAATGGTAGTAAGTGACTAGTAGCCCACACAGTGGTAGTTTGTGACGTGTACCCCACAGTTAGTGACTTGTATCCCACACAGTAATAATTAGGGACTTGTACACAATGGTAGTAAGTGACTAGCATCCCACATAGTGGTAGTAAGTGACTTGTACACAATGGGAGTAAGTGACTAGTATCCCACTCAGTGGTCGTAAGTGACTTGTACACAATGGTAGTAAGAGACTAGTATACCACACAGTGATAGTAAGTGACTTGTACACAATGGTAGTAAGGGACTAGTATCCCACATAGTGGTAGTAAGTGACTAGTACCCCACACAGTGGCAGTAAGTGACTTGTACACAATGGTAGTTGTACCCCACACAGTGGTAGTAAGTGACTAGTACCCCACACAGTGGTAGTAAATGACTTGTACACAATGGTAGTAAGTGAATAGTATCCCACACAGTGGTAGTAAGTGTCTTGTACACAATGGTAGTAAGTGACTAGCATCCCACATAGTGGTAGTAAGTGACTTGTATCCCACCCAGTAATAATTAGTGACTTGTACACAATGATAGTAAGTGACTAGTATCCCACACAGTAATAATTAGTGACTTGTACTCAATGGTAGTAAGTGACTAGTATCCCACACAGGGGTAGTAAGGGACTTGTACACAATGGTAGTAAGTGACTAGTCTCCTACACAGTGGCAGTAAGTGACTTGTACACAATGGTAGTAAGAGACTAGTATACCACACAGTGATAGTAAGTGACTTGTACACAATGGTAGTAAGGGACTAGTATCCCACATAGTGGTAGTAAGTGACTTGTATCCCACACAGAAATAATTAGTGACTTGTACACAATGGTAGTAAGAGACTAGTATACCACACAGTGATAGTAAGTGACTTGTACACAATGGTAGTAAGGGACTAGTATCCCACATAGTGGTAGTAAGTGACTAGTACCCCACACAGTGGTAGTAAATGACTTGTACACAATGGTAGTAAGTGAATAGTATCCCACACAGTGGTAGTAAGTGACTTGTACTCAATGGTAGTAAGTGACTAGTATCCCACGCAGTGGTAGTAAGTGACTTGTACACAATGGAAGTAAGTGACTAGTATCCCACACAGTGGCAGTAAGTGACTTGTACACAATGGTAGTTGTACCCCACACAGTGGTAGTAAGTGACTAGTATCCCACACAGTGGTAGTAAGTGACTAGTATCCCACACATTGGTAGTAAGTGACTAGTACCCCACACAGTGGTAGTAAGTGACTTGTACACAATGGGAGTAAGTGACTAGTATCCCACACAGTGGTAGTAAGTGACTAGTATCCCACACAGTGGTAGTTAGTGACTTGTATCCCACACATTGGTAGTTAGTAACCCGTACACAATGGTAGTAAGTGACTAGTATCCCACACAGTGGTAGATAGTGACTTGCATACCTGTTGCTGGTACAGATCATATAGATTATAAGTTTGAGCAATCAGTGATGTGTCCGTATTCAATTCGTTTTGCTGCATAACTGATGTGTTTATTATTGATTTTCAGTCACAGAATATTCTTGAAATTTTAGCTTAGTGTTTTTAAAACATGTATATATATACTCTGGGATGTTAATGATATGAGTGTTACTTATTTAGCATACAGGATGAGAAGATTTTTTTTTAATTTCCATTCAAGGTATTAGATATAATATTGATAGTAATAGACTCTGCTATAATTACACTCCTGATTGACTGAAATCCTGCATATACCTAGGTTTGTTTAAGGCTGATGCTGGCTTGGGAATAGGAAGGGTGGACAGCAAAAGTTATTAGGAAGAGAATTTGATTCATTTTTTAATTTTTTTTATGTGTGGTATTATATATGTGTTCGTGTCCAAGTAATTTCTGCATAAGTACGTGTTTTACATGTATACATGTTTATTGGAATATTGGTGAACTTGTATAATACCAAACCCTATACAAATACAATAAAGTTTATACTTGAATGTATTTAATTTTGAAAATTGTAAGGATATCAACCGTTTTCTATGTTCTTAAATCTTTGTTTGTCTAAAAATTGTAGAACAAATTCTTTAGATGAAAATAATAAAACATACAGAATGCACTACTAGATATCTCCATACTTTTGTTGCTATGATAAAACCGTGGACAGTGTCAATGACTAGTTTATACGGCAGATAGGAGATATTCAGACCTTTACTACTCTGACATCCAGTATTTGTACCATGTGACCACCCTGGGTGTGTTCCCCTTACACAATCTTGTTTATTTATCACGCAGTACAGTACGTGTAACAACCCAACCTGGCTAGTGGTGGTGAAAACAACATCAATTCAAATTGAATAAACATGGGTAACATTCTAAATTTCAACTTTTCTGTAATTTGAATTTGTTTTTAAGTTTTCTGGGACATATTGAAAATCACCCTATACATCTTATGGCATTATTTCTTGTGAAAATATTGACACATATTTATAGAATATATAAAAATTAGGAGAAAGGATTTTGTGACGATAGTTACGTTCCAGTAAATGGTAAGGATAAATAAACACATCATGCTCTGTATTCAGTGATTTGTTGCAAGATACCCTTGAGTATCTTTCAGAAACCCAAGCATCTTAATTGGAAGAAAGCAATGACATGGTCTCCAAACACTTGACCCTCATTAAGTTAATTGAAAAATATTAAATTATCATTGATAATGTGGAATGTCAATATACAATGCAAGGTGTTTAAAGTAAGATGGACCCAGGTATGTGGTGGACAGTTCTGCTTGTGTAAGCCACCTCATATTGACCTATTTATTTTAAGTATATTAGTAACAGAACTGTTCAGTGCTTCAAAATACTGATGTGAAGATCTAGTCCTATCAGTGTCCCTGTCAGTATAGGCCTGTCTCATAGGTGTCTTGTCTTCACTGACAGCCATAGTAAAGCACTGTTTCACTGCATCACAGGCTACAGTGAGATGTGTCTGTCTTAGAGATGAAGGAATTTGAGATGACAGTATTAGGTTACTACACCTCTCCAGGCTTGAATTATGTAGGTTACACAAGGGAATGATGGAAATGTACCCATGAGTTATCATAGCCAACCCTCTTGGACTGGTTGGTAGTGAGCGGAAAAGTCAACTCATTTTACCTCACCAATTAAAAGGCAAAGTGAGCTTATGCTATGGTGTAGCAAAAAGGCTACTTTTCATGAGTGGCTTGAATTATATTTGATCTTATTTAATTCAATATACTATGGGGAAAGCATTTTCAGTTTGGTATTAGTGAAGGGTGTGACCCCTGTTAGTGTAGATGACAGCATGTCTCTGTACATAGAAATAACAGATGAAATAAAGCATTCCAACAATGAGATATATACCGTAAAAACCTGTGTAATTTGCACACCTATCTAATTTGCAAAGGTACTTTTAAGGCTGAAAATACTGAAAAAAGTTTCTACTCGTATATTTTGCGCATCAATTTTTTCCCTCGAAAACGATGTCCAGAATGCCCGGAAAATTGACCTCCGACACGAAACTTAGACACAAATATCTACTTTCTCATATCATTTATTAATTAAATGTGGTATTTGTTTATAAATTTGATAACTCAATGGCATTTTGATATGCTTCAATATCCTAACTCACATACTTCTGTAAGCTTAACAGTGGCACACTGTTTCTTTGTAAGGTATAGGATAGCTGTACTTTCAAATCAAAGGGTTATCAAGTTTACCTTGCCTTATCGTGTGCAGTCAAGTTATATATTAACAAATGTAACTTTACCCTTTTCACTTATCAAATGAGCCTCAAAAATGGCATGAAAGTTGAATGATTGGACAAAATACAGCTATACACATTACCGGGTATGGGGCCCAATCTATTTCTGAATCCATTTTTGATTGTTCTAGAACCTGTCTTAAGAAATTTCTTCCATTGCAGGAGACCATAGTTATATTAAGGTTAATCACATTTTATTTATTGACGTTCACAACATTAAACGTGAATGCATTCACTTGTTTCAGGTTAGTTTGAGTACTGGCACCAGTATTTACCACATGATTCTGTTGTATTTTTCAGCTGTTTGACAATGCCATGATTAACGCCGGCCTGCTGGACGATCCTCGGACAATGGTGGGACGTGTCAATGAGATCCTGGAGAAGGCATTGTTGTAGCGGAACATTTCCTGGACAGATACAAGGGTTAAGGAGAGGATGTGTGTCAGCTGCCTCTCAGCATACCTTGTGAAAAACAAGACTCTTCTAATACAATATGGTGCGATTTGTATCTCAGCATACCTCGTGAAAACAAGACTTTTTTTCTAATACAATATTGTGTGATCTGTTGTACACTGCAGAATGACTGAAAAAGAATTATTTCTTTCATCCAACACAGACTGATGGTCTAATGTTTCTAATCTGTGGATATTTCAGTTTGTTTACAGAGATGTATAATTATACTGACTGGATATATATAGAGATACCGAACAAGAAGGGGTTGGTTTCAATGTTTATACCTAAGCCATGTTCACTTTCAGATTTCTAGTATTGAAAGACAAAAGGTAAACTGAGTCTTTTAAAATTGATCAATAAATATAAACATGATAGCCAACCAACAAGTATTGAGGAACTGTTTCATTTAAAAGCCTTTAAATATACAAGGGAAGTAAGTACTATTTTACACTGTTATGGCATCACAGTGACCATGATCCCAAAAAATATGATGTCATAAATCATTGCCACATCATCTCTCGCTCATTTTAACTTCATATAAAAGGTATAGGTCATCATTTTAACCAAGTGAATGTAAACCATTCCAACCTCTGCATTACATGTGTCTGCTGGATAACCGAACTACTCGGTAGTAAAGCGAACGTAAAACATACATTTACATGTGTCTGCTGAATAACCGAACTACTCGGTAGTAAAGCGTACGTAAAACATGCATGACATGTAGTATATAGATATACTATGAATTTAATATAGTTTGCGATGTTCAGATACCAGAGAGAAATATATGATAAAACTGTATGTTTTACATATTAGCATTATGTAGCGTCTATATAACTGGTCTATATTGGTTGTAAACATCTACTATTTGACGGGTCATTATCAGTTAAAAACAATAAACATCTATTGGTGAAGTTAGCTGTATTGGTAGTGAACATCCACTATTTAGCTTTCAGCAACACTCTGTTTAAATCTCTGACATTCTAGACCAGAGAATGATTAAAACATATTAGCTTGACGTGTTAATATTGAAATTAATGTAGTTTTAACCTGTGTAACACCCGTATAGTGTTTCAAGCATGGAACTGAATGAAAGCAGTTGAACGTTATAACAATGTTCTGCATTAAAACTAAAAAGAAGTTTAGTAACAAATTATACTGGTTCAACTTCAAATGCTTAAAATCAATATTTATGTAAGATTACAGTTAGAAGAAGCAGTTTATTTCCTGTGCTAGGAAACATGTGGTTAATTCTGTAGAGAAGAGAGGCTGTAGAGAGGCCGGTATTGACTGGAATAACGAGGCAGTGTACTCCACAGCAGTTCTTCATCACTACTGTTACACTGAACACTGGCTGCAAAACACAACCACGATTGTGAAGCGAGAGTTGTGTGTGGCTTCAGCTTCGATTTAATCCATTGATTCTCCAGATATTCTGGTGTCATTTCATTCAGTTTAGCTCCCAGTCACATGCTACACACAACTCATACAAATGTGTGACAGAATGGTCGGGCACAGCTAGCACTCTCGGACAGGGCATGACTTTCTTTCATGATGTATGATGTATTTTTCGGTAAAATCTCAAAATTATCACATACATTTGGATTTTGTCAAAACTGGCCAAATTATTTGTTTCTGACAACAACAATTTATAACAAGTAGACCCAATACTTAGTAATCCAGAGCCCTCTGTAAACTGGACAAATTATTTGGTCCCAGGTGTGCCCTCTTTAGACAGACTATACACTGTAATTGTATTCTAGCTGTTATAGGTAAAAAGAAGATTTGAGGATGGAGTTTCTCATCTATGAAGCTTGTTGATTTTTTTATGACATTAACTATTTGTAGGATAGCTTTTCTCCGTATTCCATATTCAATTTGAGGTGTATTTATTGACAATGGTTCTGTCAACATGATCACCCTGGTAATCAGACATTCAAATTAAATATCATCAAATGATTGAATCCCTTTTAGAGTAAAGAGATGTATTACTTCTGTACATACACATAACTGTATCATTTACTCATGTCACTCCACAAATATATGTAAGCACAGGTGGTTTACAAATGTCACAGGTTTCAGAGATCAAGATAAACATGTGACTGCTTTCTTAACTTTTATTATTTAATTTTATACAATGTGATATGAAGTTGTAAACCACTTATGTACTTTAACATGTGTATTTGAACTGTCACTTGTAGTTAGTCATTAGACTAGAAGTATGAAGTGTTGATTAACCATTTGAAATAAAACATAAAACTTTGATTGTCGAACATGTTCTTCTTGATGAGTTGGTGAAATTCACCAAGTGAAAGTTTGATTATGGAGATTGTGAAGGAACTTCAATAATATTTCTGTATTGTGGACCATGTGCTCATTTCCCCCAGGTTATTATATTATGATTAAGGGGGGAGGGGGGAGGAATGCACTTTTCTTAACCCAAGGATATCCACATTGGCATTTTCCCTACTGCTCATTTTACAAATGTATGTAATTTATATTATTAATTACATGTGCCTCCCTCCTTTCAACCCCAAATTTTCATACCTGGAATAGTTCTTAGCATTCTAACTGCAACTTAACTGAACTGAGTAAGAAATAGACATGCTACATGTATTTAAGGTTGGCTGAGTAAGTTATAGACATGCTTCATGTATTTAAGGTTGGCTGAGTAAGAAATAGACATGCTACATGTATTCAAAGTTGGCTGAGTAAGAAATACTTCTACTTCTAAATGGTACTGACCAACTTCAACAATTTGAAGATAAAATGGCAGACGAGGAGTGAAACATGGAAAGAGATTGTTTTTAAAAGATATGAGATGGTCTAATTTGCGTTTGAAAGGTGACGGTAGAGGGCTGATTTGAATAATTCCGTTGTGGGGCTCGAAATAATGTCAGGTGGGATTTCATTCCACTCGGGTATAGTTCGAGGGAAGAATGATGCCTTTCTGGTCTGGGTTTTTGAGTGGGGAATTTGATACGAAAACTGGTGGTTTGTTCGGGATTTTCTAACTGTAGGGATTAATCTGTCTGATTTTACGATAGCGACTTTCTGGTTTACAATGTTATGAAGCATGGTCAGACGAGCATCTCTACGTCTATTTGCTAGAGGGCGCAGCTTTAGATGGTCCAACATATCTGACACAATGGAGGTACGATGGTTGTACCTGTGCTTATTGAGCACATAGCGCGCTGCCCTTCGCTGGACCATTTCCAACTTGTCAATATTTGTTTGGGTGTGAGGGTCCCATACTGTACAGGCATACTCAAGTGATGGTCGAACTAATGATTTGTATGCCTGTACTTTGGCTGATTTTGAGTCAATTTTAAGATTTCGTCTTAAAAAGCCTAGCGTAGAATTTGCTCCTGGGCAGATAGTATTTATATGTGAATCCCATTTAAGGTCAGATGATAGTGTTACACCCAGATACTTGGCCTGACTAAGATGTTCCAGTATGGGTCCATGTAAAGTATAATTATGGACTATTGGAGTTTTGTTTTTAGTCACCGACAACACATTGCATTTGTTTGGGTGGAAGATCATTTTCCATGTATTTTCCCAGAGCGCTAGTTTGTCAAGATCTTTTTGAAGTGTTTCAGCATCACTGTTTGACTTGATAACTAGATATGCAATAGTGTTGTCTGCAAATAAACGGATTGTAGCATTTAGACCCACAGGGATATCGTTTATAAAGTAAAGAAATAAACTAGGTCCCAAAACTGACCCCTGGGGTACCCCGGAATGGACATCGACAAAATCAGACTTCTCCCCTTCAACTACTACTGTCCGAGTTCTACCGGTCAGGAAACTCTCGATCCAGTTTGCGACATTTCCACGTATACCATAAAAGACATGCTACATGTATTTAAGGTTGGCTGAGTAAGCAATAGACATGCTACATGCATTTAAGGTTGGCTGAGTAAGAAATAGACATGCTACATGTATTTAAGGTAGGCTGAGTGAGAAATAGATGTGCTACATGTATTTAAGGTTGGCTGAGTAAGAAATAGACATGCTACATGTATTTAAGCTTGGCTGAGTAAGAAATAGACATGCTACATGTATTTAAGGTTGGCTGAGTAAGAAATAGACATGCTACATGTATTTAAGGTTGGCTGAGTAAGAAATAGACATGCTACATGTATTTAAGGTTGGCTGAGTAAGAAATAGACATGCTACATGTATTTAAGGTTGGCTGAGTAAGAAATAGACATGCTACATGTATTTAAGGTTGGCTGAGTAAGAAATAGACATGCTACATGTATTTAAGGTTGGCTGAGTAAGAAATAGACATGCTACATGTATTTAAGGTTGGCTGAGTAAGAAATAGACATGCTACATGTATTTAAGGTTGGCTGAGTAAGAAATAGACATGCTACATGTATTTAAGGTTGGCTGAGTAAGAAATAGACATGCTACATGTATTTAAGGTTGGCTGAGTAAGAAATAGACATAAGGTTGGCGGAGTAAGAAATAGACATGCTACATGTATTTAAGGTTGGCTGGGTAAAAAATAGACATAAGGTTGGCTGAGTAAGAAATAGACATGCTGCATGTATTTAAGGTAGGCTGAGTAAGAAATAGACATAAGGTTGGCTGAGTAAGAAATAGACATGCTGCATGTATTTAAGGTAGGCTGAGTAAGAAATAGACATAAGGTTGGCTGAGTAAGAAATAGACGTGCTACATGTATTTAAGGTTGGCTGAGTAAGAAATAGACGTGCTACATGTATTTAAGGTTGGCTGAGTAAGAAATAGACATAAGGTTGGCTGAGTAAGAAATAGACATGCTGCATGTATTTAAGGTAGGCTGAGTAAGAAATAGACATAAGGTTGGCCGAGTAAGAAATAGACATGCTACATGTAATCAAGGTTGGCTGAGCAAGAAATAGACGTGCTACATGTATTTAAGGTTGGCTGAGTAAGAAATAGACATAAGGTTGGCTGAGTAAGAAATAGACGTGCTACATGTATTTAAGGTTGGCTGAGTAAGAAATAGACATGCTACATGTATTTAAGGATGGCTGGGTAAAAAATAGACATAAGGTTGGCTGAGTAAGAAATAGACATGCTACATGTATTTAAGGATGGCTGGGTAAAAAATAGACATAAGGTTGGCTGAGTAAGAAATAGACATGCTACATGTATTTAAGGATGGCTGGGTAAAAAATAGACATAAGGTTGGCTGAGTAAGAAATAGACATGCTGCATGTATTTAAGGTAGGCTGAGTAAGAAATAGACACAAGGCTGGCCGAGTAAGAAATAGACATGCTACATGTAATCAAGGTTGGCTGAGCAAGAAATAGACGTGCTACATGTATTTAAGGTTGGCTGAGTAAGAAATAGACATCCTACATGTATTTAAGGTAGGCTGAGTAAGAAATAGACACAAGGTTGGCCGAGTAAGAAATAGACATGCTACATGTAATCAAGGTTGGCTGAGTAAGAAATAGACGTGCTACATGTATTTAAGGTTGGCTGAGTAAGAAATAGACGTGCTACATGTATTTAAGGTAGGCTGATGCTTTTCTCTCAATAACTCAATTTTCCATTATTGGCAACAACAAAAAAGGCTGTCCAGAAACAAAGAATGTTCAGCCCTTTCAAAAGGCATACAGGCACAATATCCCCCTGGAGACTTGGAACAAATTAAATCTTAAGGCTATATACACATAAACAGACAGTCGGAGGAAGGTACATGTATACACATTATGATCCGAGACTTAGCAAATTGAGGAAGCTGCTCACAAGTGGTTGTGGTGAGGTTCATTATAGTCCATGATCAAATTGAGGGCGAAATATTTCAGACAAGATTGCTGTTTAATATTGTTTTCAGTGGTTGACTTAGGCTTGTGTGTGTTCACATGTGGATGTAAGCATGTTAATGAACCTTATTACATATCCATATAAACATAAAATGTAGAACTTGTCACATACATCTCTTTATAGATCCACAAATTTACTACTTCCATATCAATTGATATATAAAATGGGTAAATTGATTTGCATTTGGTCAATATTAACATTCTTCTATATATATAGCGAGAAATTAACAAGAGGCCCAAGGGCCTTAGCGGTCACCGGAGTTATATTATAGGTACTGGAAGCTCAATTTCATTGTTGAGATGTGATGTGGAAATCAGCATGTACATAAGGATGTAAATGAAGTGAAATACAATACTTGTCATTTCATCAAAGAATAAGAATTTTAAAATATTGGTGAATTTTCCCTTTGGGGCCCCGCCCTAGCCCCTAGGGATGGGGCAGGAATCCCAATTTTACAATGTAATACCCTCATCCACCAAAGATAATTCTGACCAAGTTTGAATAATTTTCTGCTGAAAATGGGTAAAATTTACACAAGTGTTATTTCCCTATATAAACTATAGTAAACTTTACCCCCTCCCCACAGGAGAACTGATGGATCGGGGTCCTGAAATTGTCAATTTCAATAAAGCCCCTGATGATCTTTCTATCCATGCACAGAAATTGACTGTAGTACCTCTCGAGTCTGGAGAAGAAGATTTTTGAAATATTGGTTAATTTTTCCTTTGGGGCCCCGCCCTGGCCCCTAGGGTTGGGGTAGGAATCCAAATTCTACAATTTGAAAACCATCTTCCTCCAAGGATGATTCTCACCAAGTAAGAATAATTTCCTACAGTAAATTGTCAAAATAAACACAAAAGTGTTATTTCCCAATATAAACTATAATAAACTTTACCCCCTCCCCAAGGGAGAAGGGATGGCCCGGGGGTCCTGAAATTGAGCAAAGCTCAGGTGACCTAAAAATGCAAAGGTCATACCGGGATTTGAACTTGGGACCTCGGAACTCTTTAAGACCTATAGCCAATAGAGCTACCTGGTAACCAGGAATCAATATCCAGCCCAGTTCTGCCATAGGTATACATATAATTTGTAACTAGTTGTGAAAAAGTACCAGGGACCATATGAAACCACTTTACATACTTTATGCAGTTTCACAAGAGCCTGTACAACAAATTCTTTTAAAATGTTCCACTGTAGCACACATTTACCTGTGTGTACATTAAATGTACAAAAGGCAATGGCTCAGAATACAATTTAAGCTACATATAGATGTAGGTATTCAAACCAGTCTCTCAGTACCGGTATGCTGCAATACATTAGGCTACACAGCAATATTCCCTGTATGCTATATACACTTTCGTCATCATAGATAGATCAAGAGATGAACAAAAAGTACATATTCCATGACCTGTGGTATGTGTTAAAACAAGAGGCCCATGGGCCTTAACGGTCACCCGAGTCTATAGTATTTATTTTTGTTGTTGAAATATGTACCAATTTGAGTAAAAAATAGTATAATGTTAACTTAACTTTGTCAGGACAATGAACTGATCATTCCTAGACCAATTTTAAGTGAGATCAGCCTATTAGAACTTAGTAGTAAAATAGCGGCTATGGCAGTCAAATTGTATTTCTGATTGACCCGAAAAATAACAACACTTTATCAGGACCATGATTTGATCATTCCTACAAAGTTTCGGTTCAATCGGCCAAGTAGAACTTTACTTTAAGTTTAAAATAGTTTTCCAAAATTGCAGCCGTGGTGGCCATATTGGATTTCTGATCGACCCGAAAAATAACAACACTTTGTCAGGACCATGATTCGATCATTCCTACAAAGTTTCAGTTCAATCGGCCAAGTAGAACTTTACTTTAAGTTTAAAATAGTTTTCCAAAATTGCAGCCGTGGTGGCCATATTGGATTTCTGATCGACCCGAAAAATAACAACACTTTGTCAGGACCATGATTCGATCATTCCTACAAAGTTTCAGTTCAATCGGCCAAGTAGAACTTTACTTTAAGTTTAAAATAGTTTTCCAAAATTGCAGCCGTGGTGGCCATATTGGATTTCTGATCGACCCGAAAAATAACAACACTTTGTCAGGACCACGAGGCGATCATTCCTACCAACTTTCAGTTCAATCGGCCCAGCAGAACTTGACTTTAAGTTTGAAATGTAAAATGTTAACGGAAGAAAACGGATAGCAATAGGTCACTTGAGCTAAAGCTCAGGTGACCTAAAAAAGCATCTTTTAGCCTTATTTGGTGTATTTACATTCAAAACCAGGGAAATTTCGTTTTTCTTGACGATTCAGTTAGCGATATATTTTAAACCATTTTTTTACCAAATGGTGGAAAAGCAATATTGATGTTTTGCGAGAACAAGTAGCTATGGCTACTGGTTCCATTAGGGGACACACATTAGCCAGAAACCATTAAATTCTGTCAGAATTTTAAAGAATTTGTCATTTTATGATCAGTCCCTATTTCTCTAGGCATGAGGGAAAGACCCAAACACTTTCTGATTTGAAACGATTCCTGTGTAACAGTTCTTGCTAATACTGGTTTACAGTACATTCTTTGGTATTCTTGTATGTCCATCTTAGGGCAACAGAAACATGATTTTTAAAATAACAACAAACTGGTGTTTTTTGTGTGTGGTGACTGTTTAATACTCTCACCAACATGAAAACAAATATACTCTGTACATGAAAATGACAATATCATATTTATAATTTCGTGTGTATTAGATCATTCATGCAATTTTTGTTTACATGGTTGGGGAAAACAATTTAGAAAAATGTTCTGCTAGGAAATTTTACAGCTAGAAAGTGATCGAGGAAAACCTTCACAGCTCCAATGAAAATAGCCGGTCTTGTATAGGAAATACATACAACTATCGAAGCTACAACATACGCTGGCATTACTGGAATGCTCACAAATTTCTACACATCAACCAAAAAGTTTAGAAGATGAAAAATGTTAGATACTTCGGTCTTCTTATTTGATCCCTTGAATTATAAACAGTCGTAGATAATATGTACCTAGTGTACAAGTTGTCGAGACTAGTTATTTATTAGGATATGAAGGATGGGCCGAGACAGCTGAACTGGTTACACAATATTTTTTCACAAGGAATATGGCATCGAATCTAATAACAAATTCTATGAAGCAGAAGTAAAGACCATTTTCAAACAATGTCTGGAACTATGGTTCTCACAAGGCATGAAATAAATGTAGGTTTTGGCGTCCAGGTATTTATGATTAGGATGTTAGCAACACAGAACTGTTGATGCTCATAGCCTTGTATACAAATTTGATTTTCTGGATTAGACAAGCACTTTAATGTTTCAACTATGAAATATGTAAGCAGTTTAGCAATATTTATCCCGTTTTCTGACCCATTTTCAAACATTTCTCGCTCGCTCTCGCATCATTGACTGGCTAGCTTGTATCACTGTCTGCATATAGCAGACCAAAACAAACAAAAAATATATCTACATTTCCAAATATATTTTGTATCATATATAATAACACATAGGACAAAATACATACACAAAAGAGTAGAAATTAATTAAATTATTTCATAAGGTAAATAATTCCATGATCGGATTCTTCTATAACATTGCAAGTTATATATAAATAATTGGATGTATCTGCACCACTAGGTAACATAATCACAAATCAACTTTGTAGTCTTCAATCATTCTCACACATACAACCTGGTGACATTGTTCAAATCACTCGAGGGATTAGAAATGCATGATCTGTTAGCAATGAGTGTGACAATGATGTAAGAAGGTTGTTGACTTCATTGCAACTCTCAAACAATCTGACATGCCCATCCATCAGCAACGATCTGTATATATACAAGGCTAACGTCAACATATAGGTAACTGGAACACGTCACATCATGCCACCACAATGGCCGACACTTGTGTTGAATTACAGGGTACGTCCAACTCTAAATAGTGCCGGTAACAATCTAAGAAAGTATAAATTATGTTTATTACCCTATAACAGAAAGGACGATCAAAATTTTACACAACAATTTGTCCCCATTCTACATATTGTACTTTGTTCTGACAAGAATTCTAAAAACATGTTTACGTAAAAATGACTAAATAAACAAAAGACTTATTTTTAAGTTGATAATCAGATACAGGAAGATGCTACAATCGGAATGTTAGTCGAGGGTCGCTCGCCTGCTTGTATCTAGTCTGCTGTGTTTCCAATTGTTACTACAGTTTGTATGATCAGTCAATAGAAGTGTGTGGAAGCGTTATCCTCTGGTGGCCAAGATAAGAGCTACAATAAGTCCGTATAGACCCAGTACTTCAGCAAAAATAAGAATAAGAATCATCCCGACAAATAATCTGGGTTGCTGTGCTGTTCCTCTTACACCTGCATCTCCCACAATTCCGATGGCAAATCCAGCAGCTAGACCACTCAAACCCACACTCAGTCCCGCACCTAAGTGGCAGAAGCTCCTATAGGGGAGAAAGAGGAGGGCCATTAACCAAGCAGCAAGTTAACAAGTTTAGTGTAACAGGATGTTAATGCAGGCATGTATCGCTTCCTCTTCATCAATGAAAATATGAAGAGAAATTTACATGTTGACAAATACATTGAATGGAAATTTATTTGTTTAAATTAATACTCTTCGGATTTCATTCACCTATAAAACTACAATACAATATAACACTGACTGGTAAACACCTAGCTAACCAATTATAATCATATCAATATCAATGACATTTTAAAAAGAACATTTCCGCAAAAGATCATACATATGGTCAAAGAAAAATTAATTGGTCCAATTTTTGATATTTTCGAGTATTGTGGCATACCATGTTTGTGAAGAGTAAACTGATTCTGTATGAATTTCTTGGTTTGAAATGTGGAATACATACGTGAAGAGTGTGTAGTCTTTGGTGATACTATTGGCGATGAGGGCAGCTACGACCAGACCATAGATGGCAATGATACCAGCCATGACGACGGGGATCACAGACTTCATGATCAGCTCCGGCCGCATCACAGACATGGCAGCGATTCCAGTACCAGACTTGGCTGTGCCATAGGCAGCTCCCAAGGCTGAAACAAAAAAACAAGTGGATCAGACAGTGATTTTGTTTTAAGGGTGGTGACTTTATTGTGAACTTGTTCAAGGTATTGTATCTCTTCGTGTAAAAATCTGTGAAAAATAAGGACAATTATTTTTTACTGATAGCACATTTGCAACAATGAACTTAGCTTGTTAAAGAATTCTTGAATGAATTTTAATCTGAAGGCAAATAAAGAAAGTAGAGCATTGATCAAATTTGATGCATACACTGAAAATTAGAATCAAGTTCAATCAATGCTCTACTTACTTCATTTGGTAACCTTGACCTTTACATCAAGGAAAATGGATCAAAAGTAGGACCAAGATCAGAGCGTGTAAATATATGTGTGAAACCTTTATTAGACCCTTCCCTTTATAGAGGGGCATATGATACAAAAAATAAAGAAGTCGGGTACTAACTATTGTATAAGTCATGTATATATAGCTAGTAGTGACTGTACATTTTAGTACATTCTTGACTGCTGCTAAAACTTTTTAAATAATCATTTATGCCATAATGATTACAAAATGTTCATGAGGGTGTTGATCAATTCACATTATTGGGAGTGATTTCTCTACCCCCGGTCCACCGGAGCCTGTGGTGCATTGGGAGTGATTTCTCTACCTCCGTTCCACCAGACCCTGTGGTGCATTGTGACTTCAGGAAAATATCACACACAAAAAGCATAATGATGGCAATATAATGTGATTTTTGCATTAATTTTAGGAAAATGGAGCAGAAATGATCTAGGACACGGAACTTTACAAGGCCTGAAATTCACCCTGAAAATCACTGATAGGGGATCCGGATGTGATCTTGGAATTAAAAAAAAAAGGTGTAGAGTAAGGAACATTATGCACACTTTTGGAAAATAGTGTTTATAGAGAACAAATGGATAACTTTTACATGGAAAAAGGAGGATATCTACCGAGAGAGGAAGCGTTATGTAATGTAAAGATACATTTATTGATATATATAGCCCTGTGGCTAATTATGAAATATAATTGTATAGGGGTGTGTATATGTTTAGAGAACAAATGGGTAACTTTTACGAGGAAAAAGGTGGATATCTACCGAGAGAGGAAGCATTATGTAATGTAAAGATACATTTATCGATATATATAGCCCTGTGGCTAATTATGAAATATAATTGTATAGGGGTGTGTATATGTTTAGAGAACAAATGGGTAACTTTTACGAGGAAAAAGGTGGATATCTACCGAGAGAGGAAGCATTATGTAATGTATAGATACATTTATTGATATATATAGCCCTGTGGCAAATTATGAAATATAATTGTATAGGGGTACACTTAGAGAAGGTGTCTTGTGTGTCAAATCTAATCCTATTACCTAATGTATATGTATATGGTATGCCGTGGGATGGACTTCAGCTTGAGGGTATACAAGATAGACGCGTGAGTGTACGTGTACATATGTATGTGACGTGTTAGGACTGTTGACTTCAAATGGCCATCAACATTCCTGCCACTAATTAAATATGTATAGCTCACAGACTGTATTTCCTATTTCCTTAAAATTACTTAAAATGTTTTCAAAAGTATTACCTGTTTTTAAATTGAGATTTATGAGGGAGAAATAATTCACTGGAACTATTATAACATTTCAGGAAATACTCAAAATTGTTTTTGAGGTGTGCTAGAACAGATCAATATTATAATCCCCTATACAGAAGGATCCCGGATATAGCCTCAATTGGCTCAAGTCACTCCTGTGTTATACACATATATACAGTAACTGTACATACTACACATGTACAATCAGGTAAAGCTATAGATAGGTACCACGAAATGAATGTGTGTACAATCAAATATGTACAGTGTCCCCTAGTTGTTTTTTGTGGGAGTTTTTTTATTTAGTTTTATTTTGTAGAATTATCGGTTCCTCTGATCATAAATTATACATACATAGTACACATCTATTTTTGTATATGGTGTATGTTGTTTTCATTCATTTTGCATTAAAATCAGTATGCATGCACTTGCAGTATCCTGGTGTGAAATGCAAAATGAACATCTGTTTTTTTAAAAATGATTATGTCAACTGGTACAACCCCAGGTATCAGGAGCTATGAGCTATGGTTTATCTGTTCAGGATGTAACTGTTGTGTTTTATCAGGTCTTTCAAACATAGAGCTAAATCAAACAGCAGAATTTTACATTTCAGTATTTGTTGACTGAATTTGAAAGGCATTTGACAGGTAACAAAGTAGTTAAATCAGTTGTTTCCAGTCTAATTGCCTTTTTAATCATGTCTGATGTTCTCATATATATCGTGAAATCTATATAGTAAATAGCGGTCTGTCACAAAATCAGTTAACAGATAAGTGTGTAAATAGTTTTAATGGTTTAAAAACTTGGTTGATTCTGGAAGCATTTGTGATATCGCTCAGATTTACGGAGTACGATGCATGTTACATTATATTTAGTAAAATGCCCCGGTTCCAGAATAAATGTGACAATCTAATTGCAATTCATTTTGTTTGTTGTTTTATCATCTAATTGTGTTTAAACTGTTTTTGAAAATGGTGCTTACAAGCAAACACATGCTGGACACTGCATTAATCAGACAAGAGATGGGATTGTGAATTGAGTTTTACTTTGAAAACGGACACAAATCTTTAAGATTCAAATTCCGACATACATTACAAAACATGAACAGCTTGATTCCTTTGTAAATGTATTTTTATCATAACTGATGTGTGGGATACGATATGTGGGGAAACAAATATCCATTAACTATGTTCAGATATCCAATTCAGCTCTACTCTATAGGGTAGTATTTACTGAAGTAAGCTATGATCTAGTTAGACCTGTACAAATCTATAAAATACTGTAGTACAATGTATATCAGTAGGTTAGACTGTAAGTTTATCTATCCAATACTGACACTTTATTTGTGTTAAACGTTTCCTTTTGAGAACATGTGAGGAAAATCTATATATTCTTCCCATATAATTGGTAATACTCCACGAATAGTATAACATGGTGTAACACAATGGGGCTATAATCCAGACTTTTATGTTGGCACTGCTGACGATGATGGTTAGACACTTACAGCCAGAAGCTGATGCACCGACTACAGCAGTACGACAGCCTGTACTCAAACCTAGCTTAGAAGCCAGCTATAGCCCAACCATGTAAACACTGAACCTGGATACTGCAAGCATCGATTACCATGGGAGAAACCATGCGATCAATAACTGGTTCTCTGGCTGTCAGCTGAGTGATGTCAAAGGGAAGCTTGCTATACCAAGGCATTAGAGCAATCTACCACCAGCAATCAAGGGTGGGAAACTCGGCCCTATATATATGCCACACACAATGTATATGAAGAGGAGAAAATTAAATACTATCATCTTATTGGATAATAGCCTAGTGAGCTCTGATCTGATTGGATGATGTGGGACTGGTGTAAGAGAGGAAACACCTAGTGTGTTTGATCTTGTAGAGAATTCTTATGGCAATTCAATTTCCATAGCTTCATTCTACAATCGTAGCAATATTGAGTCACGTTTAGTCACCCTCAGTCTAGTCGGATATTGAAACACCATTTGACATTATGGATATAATATATGTATATATCTAAATTGATTTGTTCTTATCAACCAGGTTGATTCATATAGAAAAGACATCAACACTACATACATTGTACACCCTTGTGATCAATCTCAGTAAAGAATCAATTGTGATAAAAAATTAATAAAGCAAACTCTGATACAAGCAATACTCTATAAATAAACCTGTGATTACTATAGGGCACTTGCATCTCTAGATGTGAGGCACTAAAAATATTTCAAAGGAAATTTTGGTTCTGCTGATGAAAATAAACCTGAAGTCATTACTGTACACATGTTACCATGGCCACTTTCGATTTCAGATACCCTAATGCCACTTGTTCCTGATCACTTATATATGTATCAGTATGAAACCTTTCTCAAAATGAGAATATTTGTTCGAATTATTTGTATTGTGGAAATTTATGCTAATAAGTGTAAGTACATTGTATACACATGCATGTACTTATACTAATCTACTTTTTGATAGCAGAAGAATATTTTAATATTATAGTCAAGTGTACATGTTGCATGTGTGTATATAACAACGAGGCCAATGGGTCAGGAACATTGGTGCATTTATGTAAAACTTATTATATATAGTCCTAAAAATGTTATCTTTACAAAGAAAAATCATTAACACTCACATTCTAAACCATGAATAATCATAATGACATAGAATATGTACATGTATTTCATGATCCCCAGTGGAATACTAACATACTTATAACTAATTAACTTGACACAAGCATCATGATGTAATGACAATGTTTTACCTTGGGGTTATCATGACATATCTCTCCTATCAAAGAGTTCTAAGTCTCTTAATACTCTTACTCTTCAACTCTCTTGAACCAAATTGTAAGCCTTATTCAATCCATTGTGAACGATGAACACAATATAAGTACTACATATATCTTATTAACACAAGAGATAACATGTAGCAGAAAATAGCTAATTACAGTTATTCAAGGGAGACCTTACACATTTTTTAAAATTTTTAATTTTAGTTCACACAATGAATAATGAGACTGCTTGTGCAGGACTATTTTTTTCCAATTTATTTCTTTCACCATAAAATCTCTGCATTTCGAACCCCAATTATTTGAGGAATTGAAATTGCAACACACTTTAATAAATAACATACATATACATATGCATATACTTCCTGGATTGGCAAAAAAGTCAATTCTTGAAGTTGAATGTCCTGAAAATGCTTATTATAAACACTTACAATTGCATGTAAATAGCACTGACAATATTTTAAACTTCCTGACAAGATATAATCATAAAGAAATTAATAAGATATAGATAGTTCCAAGTTGGTTACAATACATAACTGTATATGATCTTTCATTAGTTTCAACTTTAGGAGATGAAAGAAATTTTTCAAGAAGTTTTCATTTTTGCAAGGTTCTGTCAATTGAATGGAAAGCTTCTGGACACAGTCTAAGAGGACAGTCATAGTATATAAATTGTATTTCTTATATTGAGGTAGTTTGTCATTAAAATTCTTGGAAAATATAGAGAAAAGGATTCAGAAGTTATAAATTGTGCCTACTCACTAACTGTAACAATGAGATATATATAGACAGCATGTATGTATGGTCGTAGTAAGGTCATAACGTCAAATTTACCGTCATACAAACAGATACCCAGATATGTTATCTAGGAATACCTCAGTCGCTCAGCAATGTTAATCTTATAGATATATAGCTAACTTCTATCCACAGAATTAGGTCACATTGAAATCTTTACTGACAATGTCAAGCACACACTTGCCCTTTTTCTGTGACTTTTCTCAATTTCAAAAGAATCTATATGAAACTAATTGTACTTATCGTTAAATCTGAAAAATGTTTTTACATTATTACTATTTTTTCATTATTACTATTTTAGAGAAAACAATTTTCAATTCAATGATTGAATGTTGTTTTTATAAATATAAAAGTAAAAACATTTTTTATTGTGGTGCTCCATGTTTAGCTGCAATGACCTATAGAAAGTCAGAATGAAATACAGGTCACTTTAACAGCAGTTCACATTAACATGTAGATCCATGCATTTGTAACAGGAAAGAGAATAGTGCACCGGTGATCGAACCCTCGATCTCCAGGTTCCTAGTCGGACGCTCTACCATTGAGCTAAAGGGAAATTCCCCCTAGCTCGAAGCTAGAAGCCTAAAGGCGACCTTAATCCTATGTAAAATTGAACCCTGCCACACAATATAAACTGTATTTAAATGACTACTACTATTGTATTTCATAGCATTCATTTCCCTAAGACCCAGACCAATTAACAGAGGAGACAGAATCTTGGGGCAACTAAAATTGTAATTGAATAAAGTTTACCTGCACTTTTACAAAGTTCTCTATACTGTCTATACAGTAGGTAAAACCATACAGTAGCCTTTAAGTTTAACAAATATTATTTATACCAGACAAGACATCAACTTGTTGTAAAATCAATGCAGGATGGGACATTGAAATTTTCGTGTACTTTTTGCTATTATCACCTATAATTATAGCTGTATTGAGCTATATTTTCTCTATATAGCTCAATCGGCAGAGTGTACTGGTCCAGTTAAAAGGCCAATATTCAGCTGTTAAAAAAAAGAGAGATTTAAAATGAAAGTAAAATTTAGTCCAGCCTAAATTTTCACTTCAAACATGCTTTATGAAACACTTTCACGGAATTATGGCTGCTTTTTTATCTTCATAGTTTCCGTTTTAATATTTCGATTTCTTATTAATTAATACAAATGTAGTGCTATGATAGATACTAGAATTTCTTTGACTGTTTAAGAAAGATAATTTTTGGAATACACAATGATTCACCTTCGTCCACCGTCTCGTGACCCAACAACCCACCGGAACAGATGTCATCGTCGGTGAAACACATTTCAAACTGAAACTCCATTACAAAACGACAAAAATATGCACCGCAAAAACAAATTTTCCAAGCATGCCATACATATTAATTTTGTTACGACTTGTTTCCTGTCGTCAATGTCACATCAAAATCATCAATGACATATTCCCAAAACGATCGATTATGATTTGCCCACCCGGTGCCGTGTCAAAGGCAAAGTTGAATATTTCTCTTACCACTGAAGGCCATAGCCGCCGTTGCACCCATTGCTCCGAAGAACGGTGTGTAAAGGGGTTGTTTCTCAACTACGTCGGTCATTTTTCTTAGATTTGGAATTGAACTAGGGTGAAAAATTCGATTTTACGGAGAGGATATCCACTCAGGTTGATCGACGATGCAAGATGGCGAAATTACAACGTATCATGTGATCGTGATATCCCATTATTTCTTAGCCGTAATTTGATTGGTCGACATAACCGAAAGCCTCCAATCAAATGTGGTCTTTTAAACTATAATAGGGACCGTTTGACGTCACAAGCATTAAACATGTGCTCATCATGTGCTGGTTTGTTATGAAAATGTGATACGAAACTTGAAGATGATTTGAACATTCAGTGATTATGAAATTCTCCTACCGTGTAAGAACGCCGTTTAAAGCACTACTAGTTGTTTCTACATATGGGAAATAATTGAAGAATAACTTACACATAGTCGATTACATTACCGCCCCCCCCCCCCCCCCCCCGTCTTCTATCGGTATTTCTTGTATCTTTCTTGTATCATTGTTGGTTCATATGATTTGTTTTAAAGTGTTGTAATATTTATAAATTTTGTAAGGTGCATGATGGACATCACATTGCCGCAGAAAATTTACACGGATCTAGCAAAATTCATGTTTAACCAAAATCCGACCCAAAATTATTAGTGAGAGAGGCCTTATAACTGTATAAAGTTTGGAGGTCCTGAGTTCGAATTCTTGTCAGTAATTATTGCATTTTCTCTTTCCTATAACATCTGTATACTGCTAACTGATTTTCAAATAATAAATTACGCTACAAGAAAAAACAGCATATTTATATATAAATGCAGTGTAACAGGAAAGAGAATAGTATGTGTGCTTCCACCTGGGGTCAAAACTGCGATCCCACGGTCCCTAGTCTAACAGTCTACCACTGAGCTAAAGGATAATTCCCTCTAGCTCTAAGCTAGAAGGCGACCATAATCCTTTGTACAATTAAAATTTGTCACTACCCCCCCCCTTTTTTTTAAAATGTGTTTGCCCTCAGACACCACAACCTAGGTTCTAACTCCCTGTCACCATAGACACCATTTGAAACAGGAAAGAGAATAGTGTGATTCCACCGGGGATAGAACCCTCAATCTGCAGGTTCCTAGAAATTCCCTCGCAACTGTAATCCTATGTACATGCAATACAATCTGCCACAACAGTATGATGTTACCATTTTTTTCTTTAAGAAAATATTGTCTGCTTCACCCAGAATCAAAATAGGGGTGTTTTTGGTGGTTTGTTATAATTACCCTGCATACATTTTTTTCATTGTGGTGATTTTTCCCTGTACATCATTTATTTCACTGACATTATTATTGACATGAATGTTTTCACTGTTGCAGTTTTCCAATTTGTTGGGGTCAGTGTACAGAAAGGGTAATGTTGTGTTCACACCAGATGGAAATAGTGTCATCAGCCCAGTAGGCAACAGGGTCACAGTATTTGATCTGAAGAAGTAAGTTCAGATGGAAAATTATCATTTCTTACAGACTTTTAAGTCATCTATTCCTAATTATATGCTAAAAAACGCAAATCCTTGCCCCTGTAAAATAATTTGTGTGATAGGGGCATTTTCTTTTACTGGGGACAAATGAATGTTTTTTCTAAATGCTTCATATTAGCTTCATCTGAAAAGAGCATTTGTACATACATACATTATGTTTTGCACACCAGAAACTCCTACATTTTTTTTTTAGAATAATTTGAATGGTATCACTATCACATGAATCTGTGGTAATTTTTAAAGGAAACATGTTATTCTAAGATTTATTTCTCATTGTTTCTCCTCAGCAATAGGTCAGAAACATTGCCAATAGAAAGTGGAAAGAACATAACATGCATTGCCTTGTCTCCCGATGGTTACACCATGATCCTGGTGAATGAGGGTAAGTGATGGAGTCTTTGTAGATGATTGACTCTATATAAATAATAGTAGATGATTAACTCCTAATGTATCAGGGTAAATGTTTGACTCTGATATAATATGAGGGTGATGCGTGACTCCTGGTAAGTATGAGGGTGATGATTGATTCCTGGTAAGTATGAGGGTGATAATTGACTCCTGGTGACTCCGGCTTAGTATGAATGAGGGTTGTGATTGACTCCTGGTGACTCAAGCTTAGTATGAATGAGGGTGGTGATTGACTCCTGGTGACTCAAGCTTAGTATGAATGAGGGTGATGATTGACTCCTGGTGACTCAAGCTTAGTATGAGGGAGATGATTGACTCCAGGTGTAGTTGGAGGGTGATGATTGACTCCTGGTGACTCCTAGTGTAGTATGAATGAGGGTGGTGATTGATTCCTGGTTAGTATGAGGGTGATGATTGACTCCTGGTTAGTATGAGGGTGATAATTGACTCCTGATGACTCCTGGTTAGTTTGAGGATGATGATTGACTCCTGGTGACTCCTGGTTAGTAGGAGGGTGATGATTGATTCCTGATGACTCCTGGTTAGTTTGAGGATGATGATTGACTCCTGGTGACTCCTGGTTAGTATGAGGATGATGATTGACTCCTGGTGACCCCTGGTTAGTATGAGGGTGGTGATTGACCCCTGGCAAGTATGAGGGTGATAATTGACTCCTGGTTAGTATGAGGGTGATGATTGATTCCTGGTTAGTATGAGGTTGGTGATTGATTCCTGGTTAGTATGAGGTTGGTGATTGATTCCTGGTTAGTATGAGGTTGGTGATTGACTCCTGATGACTCCTGGTTAGTTTGAGGAAGATGATTGACTCCTGGTGACCCCTGGTTAGTATGAGGTTGGTGATTGACTCCTGGTTAGTTTGAGGATGATGATTGACTCCTGGTGACCCCTGGTTAGTATGAAGGTGATGATTGATTCCTGGTAAGTATGAGGGTGATGATTGACTCCTGGTGACTCTTGGTTAGTATGAGGATGTTAACTGACTCATAGAGATTCTTGGTGTAGTATGAAGGTGACTCCTGGTGTAGTATGAGGGTAGATGATTGACTCCCGGTTATTATGAGGGTGGCGATTGACTCCTGGTGTAGTATGAGGGTAGATGATTGACTTCTGGTTAGTATGAGGGTGGTGATTGACTCCTGGTGTAGTATGAGGGTAGATGATTGACTCCTGGTTAGTATATATATATATGAAGGTGATTATGATTATTGACTCCTGGTGATTCCTGGTTAGTTCATATGAGGGTGATGATTGATTCCTGGCGACTCTTGGTTAGTATGAGGGTGGTGATTGACTCCTGGTTAATATGTGATTGATGATTGATTCCTGATGACTCCTGGTTAGTATGAGGGTGATGATTGACTCCTGGATAGTATGAGGGTGATGATTGATTCCTGATGACTCCTGGTTAGTATGAAGGTGATGATTGACTCCTGGTTAGTATGAGGGTGATGATTGATTCCTGGCGACTCTTGGTTATTATGAGGGTGGTGATTGACTCCTGGTTAATATGCGATTGATGATTGATTCCTGATGACTCCTGGTTAGTATGAAGGTGATGATTGACTCCTGGTTAGTATGAGGGTGATGATTGACTCCTGGTTAGTATGAGGGTGATGATTGATTCCTGATGACTCCTGGTTAGTATGAGGGTGATGATCTGCTGTTAGTATGAAGGTACATGATTGACTCTTGCTGATCCTGGTTAGTATGAAGGTACATAATTGACTCTTGCTGATCCTGGTTAGTATGAAGGTGATGATTAACTTACGTTTATTGTAGATGAGTGATAGAGGTGATGACCTGGTTAAGTTTTAAATGCTTAGAATTAAATGAGGGTAGTTAATTGAATGGTTTCTGACGAATAAAGGAATCTGCATATTTTGTGACAGACATTCAGTACGTTATTTGCTAAAAGCTCAGTTTTTAGCTCACCTGGCCCGAAGGGCCAAGTGAGCTTATGGGATGGTGCGGCGTCCGGCGTCCGTCCGGCGTCAACTTTTTACTTTAAGCAACTTCTTCTCAGTAACCAAAAGGCCTAGGGTGATGATATTTGGCCAGTAACATGCTTGGATGAAGGGCTACCAAGTTTGTTCTAATGAATGACCTCCATCCATTTTCAAGGTCACATGGGTCAAATATGTTAAAATCTTTATACAACTTCTTCTGAATAACCAAGAGGCATAGGATGATGATATTTGGCCAGTGTCATGCTGGGATGAAGGGCTACCAAGTTTGTTCAAATAAATGACCTTGACTTATATTCAAGGTCACAGAGGGCAAATATGTTTAACACATTTAAACAACTTCTTTTGAATAACCAATAGGCCTAGGGTGATGATATTTGGCCAGTAACATGCTTGGATGAAGGGCTACCAAGTTTGTTCAAATAAATGACCTTCATCCATTTTCAAGGTCACATGGGTCAAATATGTTAAAATCTTTATACAACTTCTTCTGAATAACCAAGAGGCATAGGATGATGATATTTGGCCAGTAACATGCTGGGATGAAGGGCTACCAAGTTTGTTCAAATAAATGACCTTGACTTATATTCAAGGTCACAGAGGGCAAATATGTTTAAAACATTTAAACAACTTCTTCTGAATAACCAATAGGCCTAGGGTGATGATATTTGGCTAGTAGCATGCTGGGATGAAGAGCTACAAAAGTTTGTTCAAATGAATGACCTTCATCTTTTTTCAAGGTCACAGGGGTCAAATATGTTTTTAACCTTTAAACAACTTCTTCTGAATAACCAAGAGGCCTAGTATAATGCTAGTAACATGCTGGAATGAAGGACTACCAAGTTTGTTCAAATGAATGACCTTGACATATATATTCAAGGTCACAGGGGTCAAATATGTTTAAAACCATTGAATGACTTCTTCTTAACAAGCAAAAGGCCAAGAGTGATGATATTTGGCCATTAACATGCTGGGATGAAGGACTACCAAGTGAATGACCTTCACCCATATTCAAGGTCACAGTGGTCAATATATGTTTAAATCTTTAAATGATTTGTTCTATATAACCAAAAGGTCCAGTGTAATGATATTTTGCCAGATGCATGCTGTGTTGGAAGACTATAAACTCTGTTCAACCTAATGTCCATGTTCGACATTCAACGTCACAGGCGTCATAAAAAATTATGTTTAAATCTTTAAATAGGTTCTTAGGAATCAAACACTGATATTCTGCCTGTAGATGTATTTTAGTCCACTTTTTAAGATTACAAGTGTGAGATTAATACCAGGTGAGCGATGCAGGCCCATTGGGCCTCTTGTTTGATAAGGGAGCAAACTGTTTACTGTAGATTTTGAAGGAATTTCTATTTGGTTGTGTTTCATTGTTGATATTACTTGATTACTTGCAGATGGGGAAGGCTATCTGTGCAGTTTGATCAGTAAGACAGTGCTCAGCACTTACCACTTCCACCAGCCAGTGCATCAAGTCAAGTTCAGTCCTGATGGCAAGTAAGACCACTCTGCAGATGTCAGAACTTCAAACTAGCCTGTGTACATGACTATGACAAAGAATATATTCAGTTATGGTCCTATGATTTCCCACTATGTTTTATACACATTGTTAGATTGTATATATATTTCAGTCTTCAGATAAGTGATAAGGAAAATCAGATTTTGCATATGGAGGTGAAGTTTGTCCCATAAGAGACTTAAATGTCTGACAGGGATAACATGAACATTCACATTATTTGTCTTGTGTTTATTGGTACTTTGTTATCAGAAATATTCTCTTTTCAAAAGTTCAAATATTGGCCAGCATTTCACAAGATTATATACTTATGTTTCCTTCAGAAAATTTGCAGTGACAAGGAATAGTGTTATCCTGGTGTTCCATGCCCCTGGTAAGAGGAGGGAGTTTAACCCATTCCAGCTGTTCCGCACATATCAGGGAGCCTATGATGAAACAGTCTGCATTGATTGGACCTTAGACTCAAAGTATGAAATCATATTGAAGAAAAGTATTAACCAGATACAGATTTTTTCCTGAGTATAAAAAAAAATTGTTGACAGCTTTGATTTTGATATTCATGATATTATCAGTATTTAATTGGATAAAAGGTCATAAAAATTTGTTCAATTAAATTACCCTGACCCAGATTCAAGGCCATGTGGCCAGGGGTCAATTATGTTAATATCTTCAAACAAAATATCAACCTGAAATCCAAGTATAGAATGTCAATGGCAACATGCTCAGGATAACTTAAGTTTTATTTATTCTTCAATCGCCCTGCATACAGGATGGTATCCAAGCAACCTGAAATCTAGATAGAATGTATATACTATAATAATCAATTTTGATCAAACATATTCCTGTTGGCTAACAGTGAAACCTGCCAAATGGCTGTAGTTTAATTTAATAGGAAAGGTAATGGATGCAGGCATTGGATGCCTCTATATCCATATCTTATAACAATACAATGTACATATACCGGTAATATTATTTGTCTCTTCCGGATATCTCTTTGCAACTAGCCAAATGATTGTGTTTAAGCTCTAGGTTTTGCCCATGTTTTTCTGAATGGATTTCAGAGTCTATCATAGTTGTTGAATTTATAACGTATTCAGGAAGACCATTCCAAATATCAAAAGTTCTGTAACCAAATGAGTATTTTGCTAGCGTCTAGTCTACAGTGTATTTTCTTCAATTTCTGTGTGTGCCCTCTCGTCCTTGATGAGGTTTCACGGTTTAAAATTCCAGACGTTAGGTTTTCATTGTAGAAGTTGTTCATAATCTTATACACATTGATTGTATCTCCTCTCAGTCTACGGTATGATAGGGATGGACAGCTTTTTTTTTTAGACAGTCACTGTATGGTGGGTCCTTAAGCCTAGGTATCAGTTTTGTGTGGATGCTACACACTTGCTGCTTATTGCAAGTGTGGCCTGACCAGTGTCTTGAAAAGCTGTTTAAATGTGATTTCATTTAAATGTATGAAGGATCTTCTGATAAGCCCAAGTATAATGTTTGCCTTGTTGACTGTTGTATACATATGTGATGAATAATTGAGATTTTTGTCCACCATTACTCCTATATCCTTTTCTGGTGAAATTTTCTCCAGTTTAACATTATCTTCTCCCGCTCCTGCCAAGAAATAATTTCTTGTCGCCTTTTCTTTTATAAGTTACAAACAGTACTGGACCCAAGACACTTCCCTGAGGGATTCCACTGACTACTGGATGTTCTTTCGATAATTTTCCATCGACCAATATACGTTGTTTCCCTTGGCTTAGAAAACTCTCTATCCAATGAATTGACAACCTGGTTACTTATACCATAACTCCTGACAACCTGGTTACTTATACCATAACTCCTGAGCTTTCCAATTAATCTTTTATGTGATACCTTGTCGAAAGTTTTCATCAAGTCCATGTAAATGATATCTATCTCGCCTCCTCAAATCAATACTGCTGTCTAATCCTCAAGCACCATTAAAAGTTGCAGTTCCGAAGATCCAAATTGTTTGTTACTAAACAGATTGTTTTTCTCCACGTGTTTGACAATAGCATCTGATACTAATCTTTCAGGAGTTTTCCCCACAGTACTGGTAATGCTTACTGGTCGTTACTTCCCTGGATTTGATTTTGACCCTCTTTAAATTATCTTTGCTTCCTTCCATGTCATTGGTACTATACTATCAAGTAGTGATCTGTTAAAAATGGTACTTAGATCAGATGTTTGTTTATAACGGAATGAAGTTCTTTCATAACCTTGGGATGCATCTGGTCTGGTCCGTGTGATGTGCTGCCATCAAGCTTTGTCAACAGTTTACCTGCACTTCCTTCTGTGCAATGTATGTTTTCTAATGCTTTAATGCAAAGTGAAATAAAGTTCACATGTTTTCCTTTCCAGTTACATTTCACACCTAACTAAATATACCTGTGAATGTTGGTAAAGGGTCTGGTGTGTCTCTGGGGTTAAAGACTTTGTGTAGTGGGGAGGAACGCAGCAAAACTAGACTACGACGATCCCTGGTAACCAGATAGCTCAATTAGTTAGAGCAGCCATCTAGAGTTCAGAGGTCCTGGGCTTAACTCCTGGTCTGACTGTTACAATTGTTCTACAGGATATTACCAAAAGACACAGTATCTATTGAAATTGACAGTTTCGACATAAATTGAAGGATAATTGTGTTTTGTTACAGAGTCCTGTGTGCCGGGTCTAAGGACATGAACACCAGGGTCCATGCTGTAGAGCGCCTAGCCAACCTCACCATCAACTCCCTAGGGGGACACAATGATGCCATTGTGGCTGCATACTTCGCCTACAACTCCCTGGACGTATCCTTGCACAATGTGTTGATTAGTTGAGGAGATTTTTTGGGGTCCTGATAGTTGAAACAATTTGTTCTAGGCTAGTATTGCTATACTGGGTCATAGTGGACGCATGGTTGACTGTCTGGATCACTAGCCCTCAAACACTGCATCACGGTTCGAGGCCTACATAGACTTGTCAGTAGCCACTAGATGCTCGCTGCTGGTCAGTGGTTTTTCTCCAGGAACTTCTGCTTTCATCCACCATCATAACCTGACATGTCCTTAAATGACCATAGATGTTAATAGGACGTAAAACACAAACAAAAGCTATACTGCTTACTGTAATGACGAATGCCAATGTGATAGGTATGGTACCTTTTATCATCCAGGTCTTCATAAGAAGTAATTCATAAAATGATTTTACATTGGTTTGCTGTTCTTTGACAAATATGTAAATAGCACTGATGCCATATTAGTATTAAAAAAAGGCATGACAATTGCAGGATACATTCAGATATTGTACTAGATGTTTATTGTACAAGATGTTTGTGCATTCATATATTAAATCAATATAATTGCAAATTAGGATGTTTAAAAAGCCCAGTGTTAAGACTAGTTTGAATTGCCTGTATATTTCCTTAGCCATATCAGGTGTTTACGATCAGTCAGAATGGCCATCTCTGTGTGTGGGAGTGTGACACAAAGCTTGAGGATTTACGACCATACATCCCCAAAGTTCACAGAGGTCAAGGTCAAGATGATGACCTGGATGACCAAGAAAACCCAGATTCAAAAGGTATACTCTTTCAGCAGGGTCAACTTATATATTTCTCATCATTTAATTCAAATAATTTGTAAATCTAAAATATTGAAATTCAACGTAAGTTTATGTCCAGGTTTACAAATGTTCTGCAGGAATTAGAAATTAAATGATCTTAAGAACGGATTGTGTCTCTCTTTTGACCATTTGGATGGGATCGCCAGGACAAAAGCTTCTGTGAAATTCAGTCATGTACATTAACTTCCTGAACTGAAGCCAAACATTCTTTGTCTAAATACTCCTTGTTATGTTCCCTACAAAGTTTAACATTTAGATAAACCAGACGTTTCTCCTGCGTGTGCTGTATTTGAGTTATTAAACAGATTTACTTTAGATATGAGTCGCAGATTCTAGCATTTGTTTAAAACTGGAAGGAAACATATTCTAAATTTGTTGAGTGATAGTGATATAAATAACAGTTTCTGATCCACATGATTTACAGAAACTGAGATGGACACCGCAGAACCAGAAGACAGAGCTATGTACCAGCGAGTACAAAAGTAAGTCCACAGCTATGTACCAGTGAGTACAAAAGTAAGTCCACAGCTATGTACCAGCGAGTACAAAAGTAAGTCCATAGCTATGTACCAGCGACTACAAAAGTAAGTCCACAGCTATGTACCAGCGAGTACAAAAGTAAGTCCACAGCTATGTACCAGCGAGTACAAAAGTAAGTCCACAGCTATGTACCAGCGAGTACAAAAGTAAGTCCACAGCTATGTACCAGCGAGTACAAAAGTAAGTCCACAGCTATGTACCAGCGAGTACAAAAGTAAGTCCACAGCTATGTACCAGCGAGTACAAAAGTAAGTCCACAGCTATGTACCAGCGAGTACAAAAGTAAGTCCACAGCTATGTACCAGCGAGTACAAAAGTAAGTCCACAGCTATGTACCAGCGAGTACAAAAGTAAGTCCACAGCTATGTACCAGCGAGTACAAAAGTAAGTCCACAGCTATGTACCAGCGAGTACAAAAGTAAGTCCACAGCTATGTACCAGCGAGTACAAAAGTAAGTCCACAGCTATGTACCAGCGAGTACAAAAGTAAGTCCACAGCTATGTACCAGCGAGTACAAAAGTAAGTCCACAGCTATGTACCAGCGAGTACAAAAGTAAGTCCACAGCTATGTACCAGCGAGTACAAAAGTAAGTCCACAGCTATGTACCAGCGAGTACAAAAGTAAGTCCACAGCTATGTACCAGCGAGTACAAAAGTAAGTCCACAGCTATGTACCAGCGAGTACAAAAGTAAGTCCACAGCTATGTACCAGCGAGTACAAAAGTAAGTCCACAGCTATGTACCAGCGAGTACAAAAGTAAGTCCACAGCTATGTACCAGCGAGTACAAAAGTAAGTCCACAGCTATGTACCAGCGAGTACAAAAGTAAGTCCACAGCTATGTACCAGCGAGTACAAAAGTAAGTCCACAGCTATGTACCAGCGAGTACAAAAGTAAGTCCACAGCTATGTACCAGCGAGTACAAAAGTAAGTCCACAGCTATGTACCAGCGAGTACAAAAGTAAGTCCACAGCTATGTACCAGCGAGTACAAAAGTAAGTCCACAGCTATGTACCAGCGAGTACAAAAGTAAGTCCACAGCTATGTACCAGCAAGTACAAAAGTAAGTACACAGCTATGTTCCAGCAAGTACAAAAGTAAGTCCACAGCTATGTACCAGCAACTACAAAAGTAAGTCCATAACAAGTTCATCATTGTTCAGTGAAACGGTTTAAATGTTTGAATATTTCTACACAATATTGGGTGCAAAAAGTAGTTTTTGAGAAGCTGTTGTGAACAGTAGGGATTTGTTGACCGTATCACAGCATCAGATTACCGGTTATGTAATTGGGGAAAAAACAGGAATTTATAGAAATATGCTTTAACCCTTTCACCCCTGTGTAACTTAAGTAGACTCTACCATGCATTGAGCTGGATGAGTCCATTATGGTCTAAAGTAGTGAAAGAGTTATCGATGTGTAGCTTAAAAATGCCTGTTGTATTGCCGATGTATTTTGTAGGTGATTTTCTGAAAGTGAACAGATTTGTGCTGAGATCAGTTCTGGGTACTCTGACATTAGAGTCTAATCAGATTCACTACCTTTGGTTCATATACTAGTCATGTCTTTATTTATTATTATATATAATTCATTTTCAATTTAAAATACATTTTCAAATGTAGGGCTGCATGATATATCGTATAGTATCATGATACTTTCTTGTGTATCATATCAGATTGTTTTGTTTGCCAATGTATCACAATACACTCAAATTGTCGATCAATTTTTATCAAAATCTAAAAAAGTGTACTTTAATCTTTTGAATCTTTCAGAAAAGGTGTGGTCCTCTGTGCAGTCATACCAAAAAGTACTAGAAATTATGCCAAATATTTTTCAATAGTATTTACTGTTGTAGTCTATGATAAAACTTGATTAAATCCTGCACTCAATCATTATTAAGCAGAGATTTAAATCATATCTTAAACATCGATCCAGGAGTAGAGCCAACGCCGTTATTGTAGTTAAGGTTCGGTAGGTTCCGTTATCCCTTGCCTGGATACCCACCAGTATGCAGGGCGATTGAAGAATAGGATAATCAGCGTAGGAGTCAATCGCAACAAGCTCAGGATAAGTTGAATCTTATTTATTTGGTATGTCTACCGGTTTCGCCCGAACAGTGGGCTTCTGCAGGACGATTTAATAACAAAATATGTCCCCTGAAGTACTAAAATTCTGGGCACATTTATATTGTGTATAGTGACGTAATACAGGTAACGTCACGTGATATTATCTATTTATAACGTTCTAGAAAGTTCCATCACGGTTATTATTAGTAGATAAGCATTCCGGTAGACATACCCAATAAATAAGATTCAACTTATCCTGAGCTTGTTGCGATTGACTCCTACGCTTATATCTTAAACATTGTATCGCGATATTTATTATATCGTTAGGTACGTGTATCATTGCAACCCTATTCAATTGATTTCTAAATATTTGAAGCCAATTCTAAGAAGATATTGTTTAGGTATTAGACATTGCTTCAAATAAAAATTGACCAGGGTAGCATTATTGCACATAATATTGCAATTGTAAAAATAAGTTTCGGACTTCACATATTTTTTTGTTTTTTATCAGTATGTCAAGAAATTCAGAGGCATTTTAATTATTTCCTGTTGAAGTGAGGAGAATTATATGGAAACTTGTGTGCTGTCAATGTTATTTTTGTTGATGTTTGCAGATTCTCGTACAAGGAAGCTCGGGGCGCCAAAGCCAAATTTGCCTTCCTCACAAGTGCTGCCTTTCATAAAACCAGTGCCATCTTGGTATCAGGCTTTCAAGATGGTTCCTTCTTCCTCCACGAGATGCCGGACTTCAATCTTATTCACTCCCTCAAGTAATCATTTATATATGTCATAACTCCAGTCTCCCACACTCACACAACTTAAGTATCGATTTTGTAGTGACAATCTGATGAAATCTCTCAAGAATGTTATGGTTTGTTTTGAAAGATTCTTTTCATATTTTTTGGAAGGTTTTGATAAAACATGGTCGATATATTGTTTAGTGTCTACCCTTTTTTTTTTTATCTTTGTTCACTGTACTAACAGATCTATACTAAGTATGAAACAATCATTATAACCTGTATCAAAATATCTTTATAAACTATACTAGAAGACCTTTTTATACATTGTCTTAAAAAATCTTTACACGCTTCTTAAATACTGGTCCTATATATCTTTATACACTGTCCTAGAGGAATTTTTCACTGAAAGATTTTCCTGAATTCTTTTCATGATAAGCGATCATCCTGACTCCTGAGGATAATTTACAATGTAGGTGTTTGTATGTTACAGTGTTTCGGACCAGAGCATTGCCTCCATGGCATTCAACAACACGGGGGACTGGCTGGCTCTGGGGTGTGGGGGTATGGGCCAGCTGCTGGTGTGGGAGTGGCAGAGTGAAACCTACGTCCTCAAACAACAGGGACACTTCAACAACATGGGCTGTCTGGCTTACTCCCCTGATGGCCAGAACATTGCAACCGGTGGGGACGATGGCAAGGTATGTTACGCAGCAAGTCACTTAGACTCATCTTTTTTTCTTGTTCTCAAAATCTTGTGAGAATAAGCCCCTTTCACGTACATGGTTCAACTGTTTCAACTACCTGAACCTGAAAAGAAAATGATAGGCTCAGATCTGAACTGAGGCTAACCTCAGAAGTATTTGGCATGTGCATATATATTCAGCAGTCCAGACATTCCTGGCCGATACTTAAATGCTGGCAATGGATAGCTTGTATTATTTCTTTCTAAAATAAGGGCGATTCACATGTATATTTTAGGAAATGTTATATAGTTTTTTTTAGCTCTGCCTACAGTTGAGTTCAAGTGTAAACCTTTTTTACTTTGACTGAAAATCCCTCGCCTCCATCCCCCGACCCATAAAATTTTACTTATGCTTTTATTGTACTGCAAATCCTGTAACTTATGTAATTACATTAAACAGAAACATACCTTTTATACTCCAGACATTATCATGGTATACAAATATTTTATTAACCGTGACATACTGTTAGATGACTCTCATTGATGAAATGATATATGATTCATTAATAACAATTTTTGCAGGTAAAAGTTTGGAACACCAGTAGTGGCTTTTGTTTCGTAACATTTACTGAGCATTTGGGAGGAATCACTGGTGTGACCTTTAACCAGAACGGACAGGTGGTTTTGTCGGCGTCCCTCGATGGCTCTGTACGAGCTTTTGATCTCAACAGGTAGGTATCCTCCTCTGAACAGGTAGACTTATCCTACCAATGGTGTCAGATGTTTAAATATAACAGATTAATGTGTATTATTTCAGCAACATATTTTAAATGATAAGTGAAACTTAACTGAAATTTAAACCCAAGAAACCAAGTATTTTCTGTTAGCGTCTTGGTCATGACTGATGGTTTATGATGTCAAGTAATCCTAGCAATACGTCTGGGCCATTACTGATGGTTTATTGTGTCTAGTAATACTAGGAATACGTCTGGGCCATTACTGATGGTTTATTGTGTCTAGTAATACTAGGAATACGTCTGGGTCATGACTGATGGTTTATCATGTCTAGTAATACTAGTAATACGTCTTTGTCATTACTGATGGTTTATCATGTCTAGTAATCCTAGGAATACGTCTTGGTCATTACTGATGGTTTATCATGTCTAGTAATCCTAGGAATACGTCTTGGTCATTACTGATGGTTTATCATGTCTAGTAATCCTAGGAATACGTCTTGGTCATTACTGATGGTTTATCATGTCTAGTAATCCTAGGAATACGTCTTGGTCATTACTGATGGTTTATCATGTCTAGTAATCCTAGGAATACGTCTTGGTCATTACTGATGGTTTATCATGTCTAGTAATCCTAGGAATACGTCTTGGTCATTACTGATGGTTTATCATGTCTAGTAATCCTAGGAATACGTCTTGGTCATTACTGATGGTTTATCATGTCTAGTAATCCTAGGAATACGTCTTGGTCATTACTGATGGTTTATCATGTCTAGTAATCCTAGGAATACGTCTTGGTCATTACTGATGGTTTATCATGTCTAGTAATCCTAGGAATACGTCTTGGTCATTACTGATGGTTTATCATGTCTAGTAATCCTAGGAATACGTCTTGGTCATTACTGATGGTTTATCATGTCTAGTAATCCTAGGAATACGTCTTGGTCATTACTGATGGTTTATCATGTCTAGTAATCCTAGGAATACGTCTTGGTCATTACTGATGGTTTATCATGTCTAGTAATCCTAGGAATACGTCTTGGTCATTACTGATGGTTTATCATGTCTAGTAATCCTAGGAATACGTCTTGGTCATTACTGATGGTTTATCATGTCTAGTAATCCTAGGAATACGTCTTGGTCATTACTGATGGTTTATCATGTCTAGTAATCCTAGGAATACGTCTTGGTCATTACTGATGGTTTATCATGTCTAGTAATCCTAGGAATACGTCTTGGTCATTACTGATGGTTTATCATGTCTAGTAATCCTAGGAATACGTCTTGGTCATTACTGATGGTTTATCATGTCTAGTAATCCTAGGAATACGTCTTGGTCATTACTGATGGTTTATCATGTCTAGTAATCCTAGGAATACGTCTTGGTCATTACTGATGGTTTATCATGTCTAGTAATCCTAGGAATACGTCTTGGTCATTACTGATGGTTTATCATGTCTAGTAATCCTAGGAATACGTCTTGGTCATTACTGATGGTTTATCATGTCTAGTAATCCTAGGAATACGTCTTGGTCATTACTGATGGTTTATCATGTCTAGTAATCCTAGGAATACGTCTTGGTCATTACTGATGGTTTATCATGTCTAGTAATCCTAGGAATACGTCTTGGTCATTACTGATGGTTTATCATGTCTAGTAATCCTAGGAATACGTCTTGGTCATTACTGATGGTTTATCATGTCTAGTAATCCTAGGAATACGTCTTGGTCATTACTGATGGTTTATCATGTCTAGTAATCCTAGGAATACGTCTTGGTCATTACTGATGGTTTATCATGTCTAGTAATCCTAGGAATACGTCTTGGTCATTACTGATGGTTTATCATGTCTAGTAATCCTAGGAATACGTCTTGGTCATTACTGATGGTTTATCATGTCTAGTAATCCTAGGAATACGTCTTGGTCATTACTGATGGTTTATCATGTCTAGTAATCCTAGGAATACGTCTTGGTCATTACTGATGGTTTATCATGTCTAGTAATCCTAGGAATACGTCTTGGTCATTACTGATGGTTTATCATGTCTAGTAATCCTAGGAATACGTCTTGGTCATTACTGATGGTTTATCATGTCTAGTAATCCTAGGAATACGTCTTGGTCATTACTGATGGTAATGAAGTAAATTAGTCCATAGAATTGGTATTCAGGTAATTGCTGATGCTTTCATCTGTCAAGTAATCCTTGAAATTTTGATAGGTCATAAATGGCAATTGAAAAAACTTTCTTTGATTTGTTTCAAAACTTTCTTTGATTTGTTTCCAAACTTTCTTTCCAACAAAACTTAATTTCATTTAAAAGTGTTTTTTATCTGATAGCTTTATACGATGTTATCTTAAAACCAATTTTTTAATTTCCATTGTTAACTGTAATGTTACACTAATATCTCCTGACAGATATCGCAACTTCCGCACCTTTACATCTCCGCGCCCGTGTCAGTTTTCCTGCCTGGCTGTGGACCACAGTGGTGACATTGTTTGTGCGGGAGGACTAGACACATTTGAGGTGTTTGTTTGGTCTATGCAGACAGGACGCTTACTTGAGGTTTGTTACCACATTCTGAGAAAATCAGACTTCATTTTCATTTAAACAAATTTAATTGAGTAATCAAAAAGAGATGACAGTAGGAAACACAAAGACATGTAAATTTACATATAAATATATATACACAATATGTATGTGTTTTCAATATATATGCAGTAAATTGATATATAATCTTTTTGTAGTTTGAGGAAAAATTTTGAATTTATACTTTGCTTGTTTGAAAAGAAAGAAGTTAATGAGACAAGGGAGGCCACCCATACAATAATAGTGGTATTCAAACAAAATATGACTTGATTAAAAGAAAATGTGATTTTTGGCTACAGAAAATATGTGATAGATTTGAGAGTCCTTCAATGATGTGTGTTAGTATAATTCAGATGTCAACAATGTTCTTCACAGGTGCTAACAGGACATGTGGGACCAATCAGCACGCTTAGTTTCAGTTCTAACCAATCGTTTCTGGCCACTGGCTCCTGGGACAAATCAGTTAAATTATGGGATGTATTTGAAAACAAAGGAGTGAAGGAAACACTGCAATTTAACTCCGATGGTAAGGATTACAAAACAGTTTGCTATTGTAAAATGAATTTATAATGAAGCAAAGGGGACCTGGATAATTATCATAATTGAAACTTTAAACGTGTATTTATTTTCACACTTGTGGTTATATTGTGACTACGAATATTTGACACCAGTATATGCACAAATTTCAAATATACCAGTGGTCTTCGCAAAATTTTATCTGCAAAATATTTGTAAATTCAAATTCTGGAAACTTGTGTTTCATGCTGTACAGAGGATTTAAACCTCAGTAAAATTACCCTTGTGTCATTTGCAACCTCAGTTAATGCCTTCAATTAAGAACTTTCCCGGTCAGGGGTCGGAAGGGTGGGCCAAAGTGGTCAATTTTGATATACTGTTTTAAGCTACTTCTTCTTAGGAACCAAAAAATTAAGTGAAACACATTTGGTTAGAAGTACTGTTAGAAGGTGGGGATTCAACCACAACCACAAACCCCTACCCTCAAAATCCCAACCCGCAAAACGCTGGGAGGGGGGCTGGGCCACTTGGATAATATGTTCATACTTTAAGCAAATTCTCCTCTGGAATATGAGAGGAATATTAACCATAATTGGTTGGAAACATCCTCAGGTTCAGGAGGGGAGGTGCATTCAGAATTGTACCATTAATAGACCTCTAGGACTGAGGGACAGTGCCAAAAATAAATTTATAACATGGAAATGGTTAAGATCCCCTCCCTATAACTGTATATGTAATTGCTGAGTATGAAGAGAAGAATAAACATATAGCTATCAGGATTGACCCTGGGTCTGGCCTCATACTTGCTGACTTAGACCCTGGGTCATAACGGTTGATGATTTCCCTACCTCATTACAATATATTGCTGAGCATGAAAAATCTAACACAGATATGATGCTGATATTGGCATCCGGGTCTGTCCCACCCATGGCCGTTCATCTTGATGGTTTTATGAAATGTATTTTATCTATTTTTAGTACTGGCTGTGGCCTTTCGTCCTGATGGAGGAGAGGTAGCTGTAGCCAATCTTAATGCCCAGATTACTTTCTGGAACCCTAACACAGCTACTCAGACAGGCTCAATAGAGGGCAGGCACGATCTTGGATACTTCCGCAGCGAGAATGATAAAATCACTGCCAGAAAAGCTGCAGAAGGAAAGTAGGTCACTGTGATGAATCAATAACTGATCTGTTACAAATTCATGACCTATTGATTTTTCATCCCAAGTTGTGTGTTAGATTCTATAAAACATTAAAGCACACAGAGTTATTAAAATAACACAATTTCATTCATGGTGTAGCTTTTCATAAATTGTTCTCCTGAAAAACCTAAATACACAGTGTGTTTTTCATTTGTATATATGCATGAATAAGATTAACTTTTCAAAATACATCTTTTGATAATAATACTTTGAAGTACTTTTTTACCACGTTTGTGTGAGATATGTAACCAAGTGTATTAAGATCTGATTGTAACATGATACAGGGCCTTCACTACGATATGTTACTCGGCTGATGGGCAATGTCTACTGGCCGCAGGACAGTCAAAGAATGTGTGTATCTACTCTGTGCCTGACCAAATGCTCATCAAGAAATTTGAAATCTCACGAAACTACTCCTTTGATGGGATGGAGGTATGTACAAGTTCAAAATGTCGTTATAACTAAAACAAAATGTCAGACTGGGGAGATAGCTTATATGTACATTGTATTAGGTGTTAAGTATAATTTACATATGACATATTATATGTGACAAATCTTTTCTTCGTCTTTGCGATTTCAAAAGTTTTATTTTGAATGCTTTAAAGTAAAGATAATGATAAAATATCACATCTACCCAAGTATAGAGGTGGAAGTGGAATTCTATAAGCTTATCCAAACCAAGGTGTGATATTTCTGAGAAACCTTTGATACATTACTGTGAAGATTATTTTAGCGCTCTTTGAGCGACTTATTAATGAATTGAGGCTTGGTGAAACAATCAATTTTTATGATACTCTAAAACCTATATGGACTTGCTAATGAATTGAGGCTTGGTGAAACAATCAATTTTTATGATATTCTGAAACCTATATGGAGTTAAAGAAAAGTGCCGCCTAAAAAAACATGAAACTTTCCAATAATATTGATGTCAACATCTGTTACTATAGTTGTTCCTATGTCTGTCTGGAATCTCAATCAGTCTTTTTCATACCCAGGAACGTATGGATGGGGAAATTTCGCTATCCTTCAGCCCTTGGCATAAAAAAGTATTCCTCTCTGATTCTAATCACCAGAATTAGCTTAGAACCCCCACAAAAAGGCATCTCAGTTTCCACATGACGGCATCAAAACTTTCCTGATTTCATGATGTCACGTCATTGGTGTCGTGTTGTGACATCCTGCAGATGGAATAGGGTGTAAGATAGAAATTTCTGACACCCATTCCTCATACAATGGTACACACAGGAATTGGAGAAAAAAATCTCTTACCTTTCTGCATCTTGTATTCAGTAGTTGAAGTTGATAAAGTGATTGCATCAACTTACAGAATATTAATGCTCTCTTGGCTTCCTGCTCAGTCTGTGTGAAATGTTTAATTTGCAACATCTTATTGTATGAATGATATTATATCTTATGTATGAATGACATTGTGCAAATATAGGATCTTAAATGAGTTTCATTTCATGTGAAACGAGTCTTAGGTGTTTTTTTGGCGAGCCTTGGCGAGCAAAAATTGAAACTTCCGAGACGAGTTTCATAAAAGCTCATATGAAATGAAAACAAATTTAAGATACTTTTTTTCACATAACTCAGAAAACATACATTTTGACAGGTTTTAAAGCCAAAATGTAGAGGGCTTAATCAAGCGGAGACAGCCATTTTGTTGTGGCATTCACAATTTATGACGTCACGTCTTTGTCCATATTATGACGTCACAATCGATTTCTGACTGGCACAGCCAATGAAAAACGCTCCAGGGTACATTACACTAGTGACATATGTAAAAATATTACACGGACGAATTCACTGGATAACAGGCCGATTATTATGTGATAATATGTTTTATGTTGTGTGTGGAACACTGTGTTGTATAAACATGTACACGATGGTTCACAGGAGTTCCTGGACCGACGTAAGATGACACAGTGGGGAAGTTTGTCCCTTGTGGACGATGGAAAGGGGGACCAAGATGGAACTGCCATCAGTCTCCCAGGGGTGAAGAAGGGAGACATGAGCTCACGACACTGGAAACCAGAGGTCAGGGTAGCAGCAGTACAGTTCTCTCCCACAGGTCAGTAAACCATCACACATACAATGTGTCTCACTTTAGTAGGTGACATTTTTAGCTCACCTGGTCCACCAGCGTCCGTCGTCCGTCGTCCATCGTCCGTCCGTCAACTTTTCCTTTAATTATTCTTTAAAATCCTTCTTCTTCTGTAGGAATGAAAGGATTTGGTCCATATTTGGTGTGGAGCATCCTTGGGTAAAGGGGAACTAATTTTTTATAAGCGGTGGGTGTGGCCCCCTTGGGACCTGAGGGGCGGGGCCCAATAGGGGAAATAGAAGTAAAACCTTTATAATCCTTCTTCTACCATATGGATTAAGGGATTTTATCCTAATTTAGTCTTGAGCATCCTTGGATAAAAGGGACTCAATTTCGTATAAACAGCGAGTGTGGCACCCCCCCCTGGGGGCAGAAGGGACGGGCCCAATAGGGGAAACATAGCAAATTCTTCAAATACCTTCTTCTTCTGTACGAATGACAGGATTTTGACCAAATTTGGTATGAAGCATCATTCGGTGAAGAGGAACTAATTCTGTATTAACGGTGTGTCTAACCCCCCTGGAGGCAGAGAGTCGGGGCCCAATAGGGGAAATAGAGGTAAAACCTTTAAAATCCTTCTTCTACTATAGGGATTAAGGGATTTTATCCTAATTTAGTCTGGAGCATCCTTGGGCCAAGGGGACTCAATTTTGTATAAGCAGTGGGTGTGGTCTCCCAGGGGGCAGAAGTGTGGGGCCTAATAGGAGAAATAGAAGTAAAACCTTTAAAATCCTTTTTCGACCATCGGGATTAAGGGATCTTATCCATATTTAGTCTGGAGCATCCTTGGAACAATTGAGGTTTGTTCTCGCTATATCTCAAGTACTGGATGGATCTTTCTGAAATTTTGTATGTACTACCATGGAGTGCCATATCTTTACTTCATACCAATTATTTTAAACATATTCAGGTGAGCGATACAGGCCCTCTGGGCCTCTTGTTAAATATTTTTGTATATCAGTTACTGTTATACAGGTTTACATATATAATGGCACAGTGCATTGTTTTGTAGTTTTTGTTTTTATACGCCCGTCGAAGACAGGGACGTATTATGTTATCACGTGAGCGGGCGGGCGGGCAAGCGAACGATGTCCGCTCGATATCTCGAGTAATTATTAACGGATTAACTTCAAACTTCACAACAAGGTTAATTACCATGAAACCTCGGACAAGTTCGATAACCGCCATTATCCGACCGTAATTATTGGAGTTATTCCCCTTGGTTTCATTAATGCGATGCATGCGTTCCATGATGTTGTATTGCACTCAATGATCTACCAGTTATGTTGAATGATTTCTCTTTTAATATCAATTACTCACAAATACTTCATATATTTCAATCATACAAACAACTGCTCATTCAATGTGTGACTGGCGTATTATATACCGCTCGCGGTAACCTTGTTATTTATTGCAATAGTGCCTATTTATTTTAACTCTGTAGGGAGTTTTCACATTGGCAAATTGTAAGCATAGGTTTAGATTTTGTTAATTGTGACATTGTATATAGTAAACAACAATCTCTATCAAATATTCCTCCCTCTAGAGTGTACAGTAATTGGTGTAACTGATCAATTTGTATATTAGTACTATTGGTATATGAATTAACTTAATTATAATACGGCTGTGTTTTTCTTTGGAATAGAAATTTGTATATAATCCAATCCTGACCTTAAAGTTAAACACAAAATGTATTCATTAAGACAATCCATATCCAATTTCTCCATGCAGGACGTGCCTGGGCCTCGGCAACAACAGAGGGGCTATTGGTATATTCACTAGACCATAACCTTGTGTTTGACCCCTTTGACCTGGAGATGGACATCACCCCTGAAAATGTGAGAAAAACTCTCCAAGACGGGGATTACTCTATCTCTTTGATGCTGAGCTTCAGACTGAACGAAGTGAAGTTGATACAGGAGGTGCTGGAATCCATACCTGTCTCTAATGGTAGGTAGTCATGTAAAGTCATGTTTAATGGGAGGTAATCATGTATACTTATGTTTAATGGGTAGGTAAAGTATACTAGTGTCTACTGGTAAATCTGTATACTGGAAAATATTTGCCTCATTTTAACATTTGCCATTTTCCCCCTTTTTTTATCAGAAAAGGGCAAATGTTTGACTTTGCAGTAGTTATATGCCTCTGTTTTCAAAACCAGATGTATTGAGACGACAGTTTACACATTATCACATCGCTTTTGGACAACCATTCTGACTGATTTCCAAATAGCCATGAAATAACTATTATATTGTGTTATCAGAGTTTTATGTGAAAGAGTTACTTCCCTTCTCTCTTTCAGTGCCTGTTATTTGTGAGAATCTCCCAAACGCATACATAGACAAACTGCTGGCATTTTTGGCCAATCAGATGGAGGCAACAACACATTTGCAGTTCTACATGATCTGGATCAACAAAATTCTTATGTTCCATGGCCCCCAGTTAAAACAGCGTTCTCAGAGCATTATGGCAACACTCAGAATGCTCCAAAAGGGCATCACCCGCAAACACGAGGATCTGGGCAAAATGTGAGTATCTATCAATTAGACGATTTCTCAAACTTCATTAGGTAAATAATCCCTCACTACGTGAGAAGGGTATATAGTAATCACCTTTTCTGTGCGTCCGTCTGTTCAATAGTAAAAAGCTTGCATACAAGATATCTCATTAACTTCTACAAATTTAGATCAAGTTTACACCATTGTATAGTAACATCAAGTTCTACTCCTGTTTTAAACTTTGATGGTCATTGGTCAAGGTTAAAGGTCACAGGCATAGCATCCTTTGGTAGTAAAAAACTTTTATACGTGATTTCTTATCTACCCCTAAACAAATTAATTTCATATTTTCACCATTGTATGTTAATATCTAGTTCCACACCTGTTTAGATTTTGGTTGGCATTGGTCAAGGTTAAAGGGTGAAAGGTCACAGACAAATAATGTGGTTGGGATGGGGGTATACTGGGTATATCTATGTGAATCTCCACTCACTTTGTTTATACTGACCGAGATGCAAAGTTTCCAAAGGGGCCCCCAGTGAGGGCCCGTTAGGCAACTGCAACTTTTAACCACACTATGAAACCAAGTAATATGATTTCCAAGTCCGTGTTGAAACTTATTGAATTCTCTTAGTAGTTATTTTTCATCATCAGAAGTTTATTGCACACATGCCATTATTCCAAATTTGAATGTAGAAATATTTGCTGGCCTCTCAGCATTATTTATAGACACCAGGAAAAATCTATTACCGGAATGTGACCGGTACATCTTCCCTCAACCATGGGATAAACCTTTCTGTAAAAAGTAATATTCACGAGGCAAATATCCTATTTCAAATGTTTTCATAAAGTGTATATACACTGTATGCATTGACAAGTATATAAAAAAGTAAGTCATATAAGCCATCATACACAATAAACATTTCTGGCAAAACCACTACGTGTACATGTAGAATATGTGTCAGATATGGAACGTGTTGTGATACTTGATAATTATATGTTTCCAATACTTTACAGAGATCAAAGCATACTTGTTAATGAACCCTTCTTTATGTTGAGATAACTTTTCTTTAATCAGTCATTTTGTCTGAAATAGAAGCCAGTGATATCGGTTGCACGCCCCACTTTTATAACGTAAATAAATGATTTTTTTCCCGTTTTCAATGCATATTCAGATTCTATCTGACATATTTAAATCTCGCATGTGAAAACAAAATTGTTTACTTCAGCAGTATAATTAAATCATACCATTTTACTGAACCCGGGAATATTGTAAATTATGTAAATCTAATAGCTCACGTATCTCATTTGACCCCAAGTACCGACAGCGGACATCACAACATGTACAGTTACCCTTTGGAGGGCCCCATAGCAAAATCAAACTAACCTGTCACTTTTCCCTTCCACTCGCATAAACTACTGTATATAGAAACGCAAAATAAACTCCCTCCGATACATGCCCATTAACATAAAAATTAGGATATTTTTCATAAGGAGACTGACTTGATATGTTTATGTAGTATTTGGGGGAAAAAATGGAGAGAAAAAAATATGCTTTGCTGTGATGTCCCTTTAAAGAAAACACAAGTCTTGTAATTTTTAATAAGGAAAAAAAACAAAAGTAAACAAACAAAACAAATGTATGATTTGCTGACATTTACTAAATATATTGCTTTGAAAAGTCAACTCAAGGGAGGTCCTTCATCAATAATTCTATAACCAACTGATTTCCTCCTGAACATGTTTTCTTGGTTCTTATCACTACTTGATGTACATATCTTCAAACATTAAATTTTATGTAATTGTATGCATTCTTTTGATTAGAAATGTACGTAATGAATATTAATCTTTCAAAATACATGTCTTCAGACTTAAACTTTTATATACGTTTTCTTTGAAATGAACTTCATGAAAGTTCTTCTTTTAAAATAAAACATGATTCAGGTAGAATTTGAGAAATTATTTTCAACTTTAAGAGTACAATATATTTGCCAAGAGTGTCCTTGATAACAAACAGATAAACGTTTTGTGACATTAGGCTATAATTTTCCTGCCTTGTCTCTTGTAGTTGTGACCATAACAAGTACAGTATCGGCTACATCAAAGCCCTATCACAGGCCAAGCGTAAGCGGGTTACGGAGTTGGGATCTGAGGATGAGAGTGACGAGGTTGAAGAGGAGAAGGAGGATGATTCTGAAGATGAAAATTTTATGAGCAATCTCATGAATAGCGTTACTTAGCATTTAATAAATTTGTGAATCAAAGTTGCCTTGCTGTTTTTCTTACAATTATACCAGGTTGCTATAGGTACATGTAGATACAGTACACGTGGAGTTCTAGTAGTGAGTAGTGTTACTTGGGATTGAATACATGAAGTGTTCAATAACACGAGTTAAGGGAAACATGAACAAAGGAAGGATCCACATGGAGACCCATGAAAAAGTACGAGAAGAATAAGACCAGGTGTTTCAGAAAGGTAATTGACCCCTACTTCATCGTTGACACCTGTCATGTAAATCTAAGGAAAATTGATGTGATGTCACATTCTCAAAACAAGTACTAGATATTGACAACAAAACCACAAGGCAAAAAAATAGCATTATTAAAACCATCAACCTTTATCACACAAAGAAATAGTATATTTCCTAATGAGATCATGATGGCGACCACAAAACTTGTTCGTAGTCCTCACCAACCTGTATCTCTGCTTCACAGTTCAGAACAAGCCCTTGAATACCTATCAACTGCGACATGTAAACAATGTAGGTTGAGGAAGCAGAGATGTTACTATCAAGTAATGGAAAGTTCACAATTGGAAATTCGAAATCGTCCCTCTTATAATACAGCTGAGTAGTATGCCCTCCCTGTTGATCATTTTGTAAGTAAAGATCGAGGAAAGAGCTAGAAGTAGAAGAGACCGTAGTGTTCTTAATTTTCAAGCTCAAGAGTGTATATATTTATGATCGACATAGTCAATAGATTGAAGGACTTGGCTAGGTTTTTCAAAACCAGTGCTGATCAGCTCACCAAAAGTTAGCCCCATATGGAAACAAAAACAAATTGGTCAGAAGAGAGGCATAGTTTATTCTAATAAGAATATATACATTTGGCTTTAAAACTTGCCACTGAACATAACAAAGATACTGTCAACGAGGAACTCAATCATTCTCAAGATTTCATCCTCAGTATGTCTTTTTGGCTTTTATTGTGCCTTTAACAAAAATGCCCCAGAATACTTTAAATCTTTAAATCACCGTTCGCCATTCTTGGAAAAGGAAGCTCTCATAATAAGAGAATAAGGGTCTTCCAGTGTGACAAGTAATTCTCAACATATGTCGAGATGTTTCCACTGAGGCCATAATGATGCATCTTGTACCAGGTTATCTGGTTTAGCACTTTATCAAAATCCTTCAAAAATCTAAACGGTTTACATAATGATATATAAGACGATATTCTTTCATTGAATGCTACTAACGATATTTGTAAATGCAATCATACCATGTAAGAGGGTGGAACTTAAGTTAAAAGACGCAGTGCAAGGATGATAATTGATTTACTATCGTCTGTCCAAATGGCCGTTTGTTATGAAATATCTGACCCAGTTTGAAGGTTTTGCCCCTCACTATAATACTATAACGACAGCACTGCCTTACACATAGAATCAACTGTTCACCTCCTGTTTACGGGGATTTGTTTATTTTCATTATCCGATGTGAGTGGCTAACCATCCAAACAACATGCTTATATCCAACACTAAGTAGTGTTTCTTCTCCAACATTCTTTAAGTTTTGTATTTCCGCCCTGTAATGTGTGAACCCACGTTCTGAACTGTTCCAAGTATCTACCAGACCATACACATCTACTTCTCTTCTTATCATACCGATTGTTGCCTGACTTTTCATTCTCACATCGTCTCATTTATTTGGACATCTGATGTATGCATATATCTTCCTATTTTACAGGAGCACTTTCTATGATGTAATAACCTAATGCACAAAGATTCTTCGTTTCCATTGTGGTTACTGGAAGGACCTGTTGCATGGAATCTTCAGAGGTCTGCAATAAATGCTACATTTCGATTGGATATAATTAGGTTAATGCCTCCCAAAATCGTTCTTCCCATCCTGCGCAATCTTTTCTGTATATATGACTACCGTTTCGCAAATATCAAAGCTGCCAGTATATCTGGTTCAAAGGCAAATGCGTGGGAGGTATACGTTATGTTGCAGTCCACCTTCACTCTTCAAAAGCAATATTTGGAAAATGTTCGCAGTATAAACGTAGGAAAATCGATTTCTTGACTATTGAATCCAACAGTCATAACCAAGAAGAATTACATAGGAAATCTTCACTGGTGAACAACCATTTATGACCAATAAACATTTCCAGGATTGTTAGAAAGATGAATATCGGTAATGACCTAAATACCAATTACATGGATTAATTTACTTGTGAAACCATCGGTAATGGCCAAGACGTATTCCTAGGATCACTAGACATGATAAACCATCAGTAATGACCAAGACGTATTTCTAGGATTACTAGACATGATAAACCATCAGCAATGACCAAGACGTATTCCTAGGATTACTAGACATGATAAACCATCAGTAATGACCAAGACGTATTCCTAGGATTACTAGACATGAT